CAAAGCCCGGTATGTGGATTATTAACTCGACGTAACAGATTTCATGCTGCGTCACGCCGTCGTCGAGCCTTGACACGCTTGAACTTGAACGCTTTCAGGTGACCGAGCAAAGGGAACCTCTCAGAAGAGAGCCGAGAAGAAGAGCGGACAGCCGGCAACAAGTGAGAGGCGGACGTTCGACGGTACGCGACTGTTCCATTACGCAGTTCGCGCAAATAGACGACGACAATGTGTCCGCCCTGCAGCAAGTGACCAAAGGCGGTGGAGGATTGACTCTGGCCTCGCAATGGAAGTCGCAGTTTGACGACTCCGAAGAGACCGATAACGAGTGGAAGGGCGAGAATTTGCAGAGTCCCGAGCACAAAGGAACGAGTGCTCCATCCATACCACCGCAGGTAAATTTCTTAATTACGATCGGGAGGATTAGACGCGAAGAAAAACGTCGTATAAAAATGCCGAAATATCAAACCTTCGTATGTAGCCCGCAGATGTTGTCGAAGGCTCGCAAAAACTTGACACTAAACCTACCGTGGCGCAACCGGATGTGCCGAACGAGTGTCAACAACAGTCTCTGGTTCCCGCAGCGTTGTCGAAAATAAGCGAGGATTCGCCGAGACCAGCGACACTACATAGATGTTTAAATATCGCGGGTATTGAAAAATATCCGGAACTCCAAGGGGCGCTTCCACGAGCTTGGAGTGTTCCGGTGTTAGCGCCGCATGTCCGACCTTATCTTGAAGCTCCATTGGTTCGTACTGTGTTCTGTGTGTGTGTATGTGTGTATGTGTGTGTGTGTGTGTGTGACTTGCTGTTTCATAACTTTTGTGCATGCATCTAAAATATGATGGGTAACAGGTTCAACAGGCGGCATTCGACGATTTGCTGTATGAAGTGGACGTTATGAGAAATGTCGCCACCCGATACGACGAGCCGAGGCAAACTGAACCAACCAGAAGATCTAGTCTACCAGCAGTGGCTTTTTCTGTTTCTGACACGATGTTCAACACTCCCAGAGGGGAGGAAGAGGAGGAAGCAGTAGCGGGGAGGTTAGAAATCAGAGTGGTGGATGCGACCGGTGGTGCTACGATTGTGCAAACCAGCGCCGACAGAGAACCATTACAAAGTACGTACGATCGATTGTACGAAATACAGTCGAAACGACATAGATCCCAATCAGTTGCAAGTCACATCGCGTTTGTCCGAATTTTCAGAAAAATTAGCAAACGGCACGGCGGGTAGCCCGGCTAGTCCTAATCCGGGACCGGAAGAACCATCGATATATTACGACGCTACCGAAAATCGACCGATCGCAAACGCGAGTTTGCAAAAGGAGTCGTCTAGTATTATTACTGCCCCGACTACTGTACAAAACGCAGTATTGCCTCGTGATAATAAGGATAATAAAGAGAAGGAAACATCCAGTAGGACGTACATCACTCATAGTAAAATACCGATTCCCGTGAAGAGTCCGAGATGCTCGCTATCCGAATCGACGCCCGAGAATAATACTCCGAATATCAAAGCGGGAACAGGAAGTGATGTAGAAAAACTGCCGACGCCCGCAGCCGCAACTAAGGAGAAAGAGAATAGTTAGTAAAACTAATACAGATATAGATAATTATTAGAGTGAATTTTAAATGATGCTGATATATGTCTATATAATTATACTTAGTTGTCTGTACAACAGGTATGGATTGTGATAGAAATTGACGAGACACATATATCGCACTTGAAAGTTTTGTAATATAAGCGACTTTTCATTGACGATTGACGTATCGAAAAAGCCATGCTTTAAACGCTTCAATTCATTGCTACCACTATAATCATTGTTCGGAGGAAACTTTTGAAGGAGAGTTTTTATGAAATATCCTTAGTGTTTAAAGAAACTTGTTATTATGTTCTAAGATAATTTTATAACAAAATAATTACAGCAGAAAATCACTTTTTGAACATATTGCTGCTCGCAATTTTTAGAAATTTATTCTACACCAGTGAAAAACTGTGAATAAATCTTCTCCAAATTATAACATTCTCTCAGGCAAAAAATATTAATGTTTCGTAACTGTACAAAATAATTTGTAAAGACGCAATGCACAATGGTATTATGTAATAATAAAAAAAAAATGTGCACATATTTCGAATATCCCAAAGAGATTCAGAGCCGTTATATAATAATATTTTTGAGATAACATTACTTTCGAAAGCTTACAAGCTACATTTCATTAATTAGAATGTCCTTGTATATGAAATTAATATATTAACTCCTTGCCATGCTAACGCTCGCAAAATTTTAGCTGTCAGAGATAAACTGTCGACAGCGCATGCAAAAGCATACTGCCATCGCATGCCATTGTCTGACGCTAGACCAATCATATCACCTTTAACTTCAGCCAGCTCTGCCGAAGACGAAAATCTAACTGGATGCACGCCCGCTTTGCGCCGCCGGAGACAAAGTGAAAAGTATGTGACAGACGCTAGTCAGCTGAATCTGCAGTTCCAAAGACCGCAACACAGAACGAGACCGCAGTCCGAGGTATTGCCGAGGCTTTCTCCGAGGGGAGTACCGTCGCACCTTCTACGAGAGCCAGGTAAAAAGTCCGAGGAGAGCAGTGAAAGTGACTCGAACAGCAGCGGACCGCCCAAGTCGGCCCGTCAACCGCCACCGCCACCCACGTCGTTGCCACCACATATAGCCGAGAACAATGCTAGGTATGGCTGCTGCAATATGTGTATCCAATTTATATAAATTGCCTAATAGTCGATTATTACTGATACATCACTTCCTAATGTTTGATACATCATTTTCTAAGAACGACTAATCATTCATTACATCGCATATGATCTCTTTCTCTCTCTCTTCTGTGATTATAGATGTAAGTTTTCTGTAATTGTAGATGCCGTCGTTATTGGCCCATACCAGACGCAACGGTTGCCAGCAGAGAATCGTGAGATTTGGTATATTCGAAATAACAAATAGCCGCGGTTTGCGTTAAGGTTTTAGAGAAGGCTTTACTGCTCAACTAACGGAGAATGTGATATCATTTGGGGCAGCGATCTTTCTGATAAATAACGTCGTCGGATACGTGAAAATTTTAGCGAAAGTGCATATCTGTATATCTACGTGGATACAGAAACTAGCTATTCATTTAGCATGCGAAGATGTAAACTGTCTGTGAATGCATATTCAGATAATGCCGCTTTAATTAACTACTGAAATTCTTGAGCGAGCTCGTCGAAAAAAAGGAAATATCCCGAGTTATTTCTGGGGGCGCGTTGCTCAATAAATAAAATTTCAGTAAATTGACTAAAAAAGTGTATGTGAGATTGTTTTCAGTGTGCAATCACAGTGCAACAATCCGATGATCTGAGATAGTCGCTTTTTAAGGACTATGCTCCTTCGTTACTTAGATATACACTTGCCGTTTGTGTTACAGTATGAACATGTCCATCTAGTATCTTTAGATTTTTACATATGATATTATATATTTTCTTTTTCTTTTTCTTTTTTTTTTTTTTCTTTTTTACACCTTAGATTTGCATAAATTGATTTATGCATCTCGGATGTTATGTATATGTTACCAGAGAGAACTCTATGCTTTTATTAAATCCGATAGAAATTCCTTTGCACAGAAGTAACAAATGCACCTTTCCTCACATAATTTCTATATGAAAATTTTCTTGTCAAGTTTTGTAAGCTTTATAATTTTACTTTAGTGATAGTGATATAAAAATATTTCTGTTATCCTCTAATACAAATATTATAACAACTGCTGTTGTACACTGAAACGTACTTTATTTGTTAACATAATACGGATATTTTATATCTGAAGAGAATGAGTGCTTGATAATTCGATTAAAATTGTACTCACCCGATTTATAAGCGTGCTTTAAATTATTAGTAATTTAGAGTTGCTACTTTGCAATGAGCATAAATCATGTAAAAGTAATGTAACAATTTGATAGATATTACGTAACGTCGCAGGAAAAAAAGATGAGTTTTTCATTAAAAAAGAAAAAAAAGAAGTGGCAGCTCTAGAATGATTATTGAATTCAAGTCAGCTGTACTAGTCCTGTTAGTAGCCTGTTAATAAGGTCAACAAAATGCAATTTTTTTCGCATATATACATGATGTCCCAAAAAAAACCGCCGAGTGCCCTTTCAATAACAGATTCTTTGATCAATTTAGTCAATTTTTCTTGGAGTAGAATTTATCTCCGTACGTGATGCTAAAGATTCAAGATACTTGAAATTAGATTATATTGTATTAATTATATTTTCCAAGATTGTGATATTTGAAAAGTTACTAAATTATATTTGTATCATTACTATTATGAAGATATTTAAAATACAGTGTGTAAAATAATGTAAAACTTTTAGATGTAAGGAAAATATCCCGAATTTATCAGAGAATCTAGAGGTGAAAGGAAGTACACAGAGAAGTACTTGGGAAATCTTGTATTCGAGCGCGTATGCGTGTATGGGCGAGAATTAAAGAGATACGTACGTATGTGAGAGACATTTTAAATAGAAACTTTCAAATAATGTTTGTACCAAATGATGTACCAAACACAGGTTCCTTTATTGGATATGGTATATAAATACATAAACATACACACAAACATAGCTATAGTATTCTATGCTTTTTTGAAATATGTATGTATATATATATATCTTTTCATGTACTTACATGTTTCAAGATATCACAGCATACCATAGTAATGTATACGAAGAAAAAAACCGTCAAATGGGGAGATGTAATTTTACGGCACACATTTAAACATTTCTTATGCACATAATACGAAAAAAAAGGTTGATATAAGCACGGATGCTTTGTGATTTTTCTTATATAATGAGTCTTGAGTGAAAAGTCTAGTGATGCATAAAACTAGTCAAGTAGAATAATCCATAATGTGCTATTGTTAAATCCAATTTAAATATAGAGTCATGTCAACTTGTATAAAATAGGAAGATTATTCTGTGCAATGATTAATATAAGATCAAGTATAAAAATGTGTTCCAATATTGGCGAAAAGTGGACACACATGATATAATTTTCTTACAAAATGTCGATTTTTTTTTTCTTAGTGAATAACGAGTCGAGATAACACAATCTTCCTCGAAATTTTTGTCAAGATAGAATTAAGAATTGAGTCCAAAGGTTCGCGAAAAATACGTGATCACTTTTTGCCAATTCTGCGGATACCTTAAATAATAATTCTTAAATTAACAAGTTTTTAATCTCGTTTTGTTCGAAAGGACATAACGCGCAACAAAAAAAGATTGTATTAATAGGAAGTTAATCATCGACTTATTGCTTATTAATTATGTGGCAATATCTTCGTGTAAATGTATACGAAGTGCGGATACACGACGTAGATCGAATAGGAATAAAAGGATCAAAATTGATGAAAATTTTGCGATATTGTTAATGATAGCGTTATTATATACGAGGTCAAAATATAAAAACGTATATCTTTTCATGCAAGTATGACATAGGCTTGTAAAGTATTATTCGAGATACATGTATAATAGAATTCAAAGAGTTTCACCGAGCTTTTTTTCAGGAGGAAAAGAGAGAAAGGAGAGAATAGGAGCGCATCTTCTTTTCGAATTTATGTAAATAAATGGCATGTATGCATATATATATATGTAGATATAGCTTATAACAAATGCATATATACATGTATGCATATAAGTGCATATATTTATATATATATATACACACGTATTTTATGGACATGAAAATGTAACATACAGTAATTAAGCAGAAAGTTATGATGTTCAACAAATTTGAGAGATTAACTCATTAAAGTCGAATAGACATTCAAGACATTCTTGGATTTTGCAAGACAGCAATATACTTTAATATTCTTGCAGCGACTGTCTCTCTCTCACTATATTTGAAGGCAATAATTGTCGCCTTTTTACGCAAGTGAACAAAATCTAGGACAGATTAAAATAATAACTGGACTTTAATGAGTTAATTTAAAGCCGATATAATCGATATAAAAACTGATATTATAATAATGTAGGATACCAACATCCACTGGAAGGTATTTGAAAAGATAGATGCTTCAAAATTTTGCGGGCAAAAGTTATATAAAGGATTATTTTGCAATAGTTTATTTCTCGACATTAAATATTATTCTGATCAAGTCTCAAATTAGCGTTTTGCTAAAATAAAGTCCACTCGAAACTAAGAAATGAAATTATTTTTATAAAACTTATTTTTATTTCGTTACACTTATAAAATATAGGAATTCTATATGGTAAGAAAAGTCTATCATTAAAATATTTTCCAGTCGTGGTACTCCGTACACGAAGACTCCCGAAGAAAAATGATAATAGAGCGATATTCTTAACCGGATTTGACGAGCAAAGAATGACGTTGTTCTCAAGTTCCACAAAGAATATCACTCTACTATTTTCACATTTATTTATTTATTTATTTTGTAATACCGTCTATGTATCATACGGCGTTTCGTATAAATTTGTCTACTCTACTACGACACTTGACTTTCAAATCTTGGCCGTGCATAAATGTCACTGTACGTACGTGAGCATGTTTTTTCCTTTGTTTTTTTTTTTTTGTTCGTTCATATTGCCTGAAAGGTGGAAAGGTATCATTCCATCCATGATTCTGTATTATAACGTACGCATTATACAATAGGAAACGCGATCATCATTTCTATCTTTAACAATGTACATGTATCCGCAAATCGTTGTGACCAGACCTCGAGGAGAATATGTTTCTGCTGTAATATGTAAACTGATCTTTTGCAGGAAATTTAATATACATTATTGTGGCCGCTTCGTGTCGGAAGTGAGTCATGTGTAGTTAATATAAATATAGCGCAACATTAGCTGTAACGAACACCGCTAGAAAATGAAATATTGTATTGTCACATAAGCGAAAGTCAATGTAGCTGAAACGTTCAGTTCAGCAATTTGAACTTGATGCTCTTCCCCGCCCCGTGCAGTTCGGTATAACGAAAATTTGCGGTTTCTTTAAGGAAATGCGACACATCGAGTCCAATCCAAATAAATATCGAAGCGTTCCAAACACACACAGAACTTGTCTCTCAATAATGTAATTTTATAAAACGCGATACCAGCCAGTGTATCGGCCCGGTTTATTTAGAAACGATGGTCCATCTTGTTGTAAAGCAATTTGAGCCGCTGATCGCAGAAGAATAGATTGGGGGAAATCTAGGCGTATAAAACTTTATATATAGATAGAAATGAATGAAGAAAGGAAATCAACTGATAAGATAAATAAAATGTGCGAGCGTTTAAACTTCCTGGTATCTCTCTGCAGAATAAATAAAATCTATCTATTCTATTGCAATTATTTCTCTTAGACAATCATGTGGCAAAGTTTTTGTTTGTTTTTTTTCTTCATTAATAATTTTATCGCACCATTAACCGTTCTTTTAGTATCTTCTGTTGTCACGAATGTCGTTTTTTTCTTTTGTAATAAATATTTCCATCTTGAATTTTTACATAAAGTGCGTATGCGAGAACGCTGTGGATTCAGGATTACCATTTCTTGAGATGGAAAAGAACCAAGGCGATATTTGCAATACGTTGTTTTTATTTGTTATTAAAGTTCCTCGAGAAGGTGTGTGATGTTATAATAATGTGATTGTATCAATAGTAATGTATCTTTGCGCGTGTATTTCATAATAGCTACCATTTTCTCTAATTTATACATGAAACGCTTGGTATCTTTCGAGGGTACAAGTTGAAATCAGAATATCGACATCTAGACTATAATATATCACAATAATTAACTGCGATTAGGTTGCTATTATTTCAAGTTTTACATTAGCGGGGCAATCATAGAAAATCCATCTAATTGTAGGTATTCAATCGTTATTTAAATATTGGAATATATTCTTGGACTTACCTATAAACGAAAATATAAAAAATTGTTCCTTATTACTAATATGCTCGCGGGATGTGTGAGTGCCTTATGGTATAATTCACACGAGCATACTCTTGGCATATAAGCATGTATTTTCTTTTTTTTTCTTCTTCTTTTTTTTTTTTTAATTTTTACCGCGGCATTCGTATCATTCAACTCAGATCGGCTAAAGCTTAAAGTCAAGTAATTTTTCTACAATGATTCAGTTTTTTTTTTTCAATTTTTTTTTAAATAACGAAGTTTGCTCATTGCGCTCGTTTCCTCACAATTGATCCCAATACTGTTATCAGTATCAAAGACTCGCCGATACTAACAAATGGGATATTTTAAGAGTATTAGCGAACCCCACCTTTCGAATGCGCTATGAGCCACTGTAACGTGATGTCGATATTGTCTTTTTCTTTACACGAAATACTGTAGCAGCAAATCTCACGGTCCTGAATCGCAGACAGATTCCTAAAAATGCACATCATCGCATATACATGTATCCGTGTACCATTGAAGAATATTATGTTACAGTTAAACGCAACAACTTACATTCTTTCTATGAGTCCATTCTCATCCAGAGCGTGAGGTAAATCCCTTTTATTGCCCAGAACCAACACTGGTATGCCAGACAATTGTGGCTTATCCAACAAGTTGTGCAATTCGTTGCGGCTCGCCTCAATTTTCTCCGAATCAGCCGCATCTACCATGTAAACTATGGCATTTACTCCTCTACAATATCTTTCCCACATGGATCTAAACCTTGGTTGACCGCCGATGTCCCATACTTTTATAGTGACATTGCCTTTGGTTATTTTACGCATGTTAAAGCCTACAGTCGGTATCATATCCTCGCTAAATTGCCCTGACTAAATATGCAAAAGAAGAAAAATGTGCTTATTAATTGTTGACAATTGAGAACAGCGACGTGTAATAATGTTAATATAATTCTGATTATATACAATGCAACGCCTACAACTTTTCTACTGTATGCATAAGCTTCATTATGACAAAATAAATATATTCTCAATGAATTTATTTAAAAAGTTTTGCGACTGAATTTTTTTCATTTTGTTGCTTGAAAAAATATTCATGTTTTATTTATCCGATGTTACGAAAATAATAAGAGGCTTTAACGTAAAGGTGATGAGATGACAATTGGACTGACGACTTCTGTCAAAATTGTTTACGTGTTTCAATTTACGTGTTTTGCTGCTTTAGCACAAAAGTGAAACGGAGTAGGGGTAAAGAAAAGTGGGCGGAAAAAGGAGAAAAAAAGACGACAAAAAAGAGACAGAAAGAGAAAAAGTGAGACAAGAACTAAACAAGAGCGATTCGACGATAATCGCAGTCTATCACGTTTGTAAATCGGCGATCGTACTTTTAAACATTAAATCGTTTGACATCAGGGCGTATACGGAGGCGGTTTACATTAACAGCGACGGAGTTACTACGAAGGGGTTATCGAATCTAACCAAGATGCGCGAGATTTCTCACGATTTTCGCGTATTACCGATATTAACGACGAATGGCACTTTGACACTTTACGTTTGCAGCGACGATCCGTGCGGGATAATTACGAGAAATGCATGACTTACGTACCGCTATGACATTCACAAACGTAGTCTTTCCACTGTACTGCAGACCGACGAGAGTGAGTTCCATCTCTTCCTTCCAGAAGAGAGACTTGAACCAGTCCAAGATCCGATTAATAAGGGCCAGCATGTTGAATCTCGCACGACCGAAGTCAACTCCGTCGAGAAATTTAATGTGGAAATCCCTTTAAAATACGACCACCCGTACTTTTTGACGTATAAATTTCCGCCGATCGAGATACGTCAGATTCAGTGTTCCCAAATGAAGGAACAAATTCCACGCGTGCGCAATGACGCAAATATAGCAGACGCACTTAGTCACGTATACTACGTTTACATGAGTATCGTTAATCCGATTTAGTAATTATAACTGCGGATGTTACTGAACCTGATTAGGGTGCATCCAAAGGTTTTAAATAGTGAGAAACAAGCGAATTGGCCAATCGCAATCGAATATTTCCCTCCATCTGACTTTTTCCTCCAGAACGCTCGACCAATTGAATTCACTTATAACTTGGGGATGTTCTTTTCAGATGATCTAAATTTATAACACTTGACAATAGAGTATTTCCTTTCCGTGAAACTTTGGCAGATGGGAAAAAGTAATTCTTGGACGTAGTTGACGGTGCTCGGACTGATTCAAACACAGTAGCAACAGTTCGTCGCAAGATAATGTCACACCAAACGGGAATAAAGGGTGATTATACGATTTTTTTATTATATCATGGCACATTATTACGATGTAGATCGCGGTGAATCGTCTGACTTTTCAACCTCAATTGGCAATTTTCCGTTAGCAATGTTGCTAATGGTTGATTTGTTTTAGCAAACGATGCATTGAAGAAATTATTTGCGAAATGTCGTGATGGGAAAATACGAGTGCTAAAAATTTCAATAGAAAATGGTGAGTTCTCAATTGTAGCAACATTTTTTTTTTCTCTGAATCATACATATTTATAGATAAGATTAAAACAGAGATTTGGTAAAGATTAAAATGGATATGATATTCTTTCTACTCACCCCACTTTGTCTTTCAGAGGAACTGACTCCAGCATCTTCTTCCAAGCCAATAAACAAGTGGCAAGATGATTATGATAAAATGATCAAGCCGTTAATTGTGGAGAATCAACCGGCCTATATCCTCTACAGATTGGACACAAAGTCACCAGATTCCGGCTATGATTGGTTATTCATATCCTGGTCGCCCGATACAGCACCTGTAAGGCAAAAAATGCTTTATGCTTCCACAAAGGCTACATTAAAACAAGAATTTGGAACTGCTTCAATAAAAGAGGAATTGCATGGTACTGTGCCGGAGGACATCACACTAGAGGGTTATCACAAGCATAAGAAAAACGATGTGGCACCTGTACCATTGACAACAGCGGAGGAAGAATTGGCTGAGCTCAAGAAGACTACTGCAACTACGGACTACAGTGTGGAGACAAGACATCAAACACTAAGCGGTGTGGCGTTTCCGGTCACGGATGAAGCCAAGCAGGCCATCACAGAACTGGGTAAAGGGGTTCATGAATATGTTCAATTGAAAATTGAATTAGAGGAAGAGAAGATACATTTAGTAACTGCTTGTGATATTTCATTGGATAAATTACCCACTAAAGTCCCATCTGATGCTGCTAGATACCATCTTTATAACTTCAAACATACTCATGAAGGAGATTATACAGAAAGCATAGGTTAGCAACGATGAATAATTCATTTTAAATCTGTGTATTGGTTTTGATACAGTGCAAAGATGAATATTTACATTTCTTTTTCAGTTTTCATATATAGCATGCCAGGATATAGATGCAGTATTAAGGAAAGAATGTTATATTCCTCATGCAAAGCGCCTCTACTTGATCTTATCCAATCTCTAGGAGTAACCATAGTAAAAAAGGTTAGTATATTTAATCTCTAATAAAATACACTTCTAACAGTTTTACACAGTTTAAAATTACTCTTATTTTGACTCACATTAATATTTTTCTTTATTACTTAAAGTTTATGAATATATATATATTATTGGAATAAAATAGACAGACTCTTAAAACAATAAAAGTTGAAACATTTGAATAACGTCATAAAAAAATTATAGACATGTGTTTTATAAACATAGCTATTCACTTCAAATAAAAAAGTTTTGCATTTATCTATTCGTAAAATTGAATAAACTTCAAATGGATATCTATTATCTTTTGCATCATGTGTTTAATAATAATTGCAAGTGATTGTTATTGTTTTTTTATTGTTTTCTATATGATAGTAAAAATCTTTTTTATATGTGTACATATGTATATAACACTGCCATATCTATATTATATAAATGCAATCCTAGTTGGAAGTAAATAGTGGGGAGGAATTGGCGGATATGTTGGAAGATCCTCCAACCATAAAAGACTCAGCTGCAATAACTCCTGCAACTCCGTCAACACCTTGTGCCCCTATTCAATCCATACCAGAGAAAAAATCAAAGCAGAAACGGTCTTGTGTTTTGAGCTAAAACAGGCTTAAAGCATTTTGTCTGCCATTATTATCGCTTCTTGCTAATTGAAATGTTTGTGATGTTTTGCGCATCAAATATCTTCCTTCATGAATTCCAACATTGTGATAGTATGATATTGACATATATAGATATATATCGTTTTTAAAAATAAAATTATTAGTTTCCAATGTTAAAGCAAGTTACGATTATGTAGCTATAGTTGCAAATTAATTTAGAAACAGCAGGAAACGTATGAAGGAATTGTGTTGTTTATCAACATTTAGAATTAATTTGTCAAAGTGATACGTATATCCATGTAGCAAAACAGAGTAGACCAAATGGTGTATTTTTCTAAATTTTGAAACAGAAATTATCATGGAAAGCTCTCTGCAAAACGCTGTTATATCTATTAATTAATAAGTGTGACATGCCTATGAATGCAAAATAACCCCATATACTCCATGTTGTTACGCTGTATGAAATTATTCATTTATATGAGAAATAGTGCCGAGATAGAGTTAGATTATTTTATTAAACATTGAAAGCTAAGCCTCGCTTTTATCGATTTTACATATTTGGCACATGAGCATTATGTGATATGATGACAATGAAATGTATATCTAATTTAATTCTAACGACATTCTATTCACAGAGTTCCTTCATTCTAATAATTTTATATACTTTGCATTATACATGCAATTCCTATATCTAATATAATATATATATTATATATATATATATATATTTTATCTTACTAGAGAAAAATATAAAAATATATTGTACTGAGTCTTGAATTAGTTCCTAGTCTTATAAAAGTGATATGTATGTTTTTAAGTATTTTTAAATGGATTTCTAAGGCTTGGCTTTTGAGCTCATTTATATAGGATTTAGTAATGTAATATTTTTAATATCGATCTGTGGTAATCTGCATATGTGATGGGTAGAGAGTTAGGAAACATTCCATTTTTGCTCTAGATAGACTAGATGGAAAGAAAGAGAGAGAGAGAGAGAGAGGGAGACGGAGAGAAAGAGCTAAAGCCATTCACCTAACTTCTCCAGATATTTTCAATATGATGATACTGTAGACAAGTGATATATATGCAAACACCACATTAACGTGGATATATTTTTTTCGCACATTATTATTTCAGCTACAAGATAGTGATAACGCTAGTTATACTTTACATATAAAATTTTATATAATGTTCTATACTATTGTAAAAATGCAACAAAATATTAGATTCTACAAGTATGTGTGCGATGTAAGACTGATCTTGGCGAGTCCTATCGGCTGTTAATACATGTTAAAGATTATATTTGCATTTATACAAAACCATTTTACAAATCTGATGTGATATTTTTTTATTGAATTTTCAATTCTATACTTGAATATATTGGAATTTTTATTCAATCTATTTGTTTAAAATGCAAGCATCCTGTCCAAGCTATTTTTCAAACATTCAAATACATGCACATAACAGCAGACAGGACTGAAATTTGATAGCCAAGAACAAAATATACGAGAGTCATTCTATTTTTTGTGATCTGTATTTTTTTAACACTTGTAGCTTTTATAAAAGTTTTAGTCGAAAATATGAAGAAATGATTCATATAAACAGCACTACTTGTGCTATGGAAATTTGTGAGCCAGATATTTCTCGTAATTCTTTCTTCCAGAGTTAATCCTTCTATGGTCTAATATTTCTGTAAGATTTATAGAAAGTTAATGCCTTTAATTATCACACTCGTTGCTTCTTATGTAACTTATTGTATTTACGTATGTAGAGATACGTAATACACAATTCGTTCAAAATCGGGAGAAGAAGAGGAACTATCTGGCTTATATTTTCATAAATATGATAAAATTAATTTTTGTATTACGCTCGAAACTGATTATGCAGATTCTATTTTAAAAAAACTCATGACGCACAGTGTTGCCTAGTATACTTAAGTGTCATACCAGGCCTATTCTGTAACTCCTTAGTTTTATCTTGACTTTGGAGTTTCCCGTTATTGTTATAAACTCATTAAAATCAAGAAAATTGTATATATCTTGCCAATATTAAATATACTGGAAATAATAAAGCATCATGCAATTTAAACTCACAATTTGGTGTTTCTCTTTCATGTTTACGTCCAGTATTATATTCATATTAGGTGCATACGATGCAATTGCTAAGGACTGTTTGGGTATGTATGTGTGATTACTAAGGATGACGTGGTGATATCGACTCTTTGAACGGGTATGTAATTACTTTTAAGATTTGAAAGCATGTTCTGTTACAACTTACAGAATAGGCCTGCTATACGATCTATAGCTACATCAACAATTTACGAAATATTTTCTCTGGTATCCCTCTTCTTTATATGTACATATGTGATATATATATGTATAGTATGTGTATACGTTCACGCTTGATATGCACTATCGCTTTCCTGATGTTTTGAGTATTAAATTATAATTTTTTTTTTTTTTCAATGTGTTGACTGCATAGCTTGAAATAGCTGCCGGAGGGGAACTTACTGAAGACTTTTTCCAAGAAGAGTTGCATCCAAAGATCAGTTTGCATCAGCCAAAATTCGCTAAACCCAAGGGTCCACCGAACAGAGGTGCTAAACGTATAACTAAGGTTCAAGATTTAGCGTCCTCGGGACAAGAAAATTAAATAATTATTTATGAAATTAATATCAAATAAAAGCAGGGTAGAGAGAGAGAGCAGGATAGTAACATTTTCCAATGCACTCTTGTACACCCATTTAAGTATGCATGGAACCTTGTTTCAAGAAAAAGTATTAATTAGATGAAATAATTTTGAAATTTTTTTATTCTGTAAATATATCTAATATATAAAGCATATAATTTGTTATTATTTTATCTCTATATAAGTTTTTACAAATCCTGAAAGATTGATCAAATTTTGCACTTTCTGTGATAAATAATTTGTAAAATTTATATATATTTATCAGAGAATGTCTTCCCTGTCATTTTGCTACTTAGGAAAACTTCAAGGCATATTCATTGATAGATAAATAGTAAAGATAGAAACTCACACACGCTATGTTACTATGTACAAGATTTATTTACACAATAAGTATGTGTTAAGTGTTGCAATTTTCAGTGTCCTTTTCTTGCTTAAACCTTGAATTGTTCCTTGCTTCCAGATTTTCTTCGTACATTTCTTTTAGTTGTGGTAACTCAGAATTCATACTTTCTTTTATTCTCTCAAATATCACCCTATAATTGTTAACATTAAATAAATAATATAATTTCTGTAACTTCTACATTCGATATATAAAAAGTTATTAAATATACATGCTACAAAATTTCCACAGAAAACACAAGTACTAAATTCAGTATTTAAATTGTACAGAATGAGATATTTTACTTACTTGTCTCTTGAATTTATCCACTCTTGTTGTGCCGTCATTACTTCATCCATAGTTACTCCCGATAATGTAAGAACAAGAATTGATAAGCTACCACACACTGCACCTAACATACTGCCAAGTCCAGTACCAACTAATGCTGCTCGAAACCCTAAATTCATTTTATATAAAAATCCCGTTACAGCACCTCCAAATATATAATTTTCTGTTGCTACCTTGCCGCGATATGCTGATGTGCATGTTGTTAGTGTGCTGTAAACAAATATGTCGTCTATTTATTCGCTTCTGTAAATTTTAGAACAAAAATGTACTCACCTAAACATACAGCAAAAAAGTCCAAGTTTTCCTCCGAATTTCGCACCCTTCCTTATGAAATTCACAGAAACTGCTTGTTGAAGATGCCGTTTTGCGTCAAATTGGTTTAGAAATCTTGTCGCTTCATTATTCGTAATGAAATTATCTACTGTATTTTTGGTTGCATTAGTACCACCCAAAAATGCGCCAAGTACAACACCTGATAATGTTACATTTATGATGGACTGCAATTCCTTTGTGAACATACCCTCTTCACTGTAAAATAACATTTGTTACAACGAATTATTCAACATAAACTTTACATGTAAATACACACATGCCTTATAATTCAATAAAATATGTACTTCAGACAAAATATCTTTTTTACTCTGTCCCAACCCATTTCATCATCCAATGGGTTTACTAATGGTTTTACCGCATTTGCAGGTTTATCAAAAGCATTACCCTTATTGGTAAATGGAAATATGGACATTAGCATTGGGCTTCTAGTTAGTATAACCAAACGTCTCATCTTGATCTTGCAGAAAAACTTGCTAAATTATATACATACAAATATTAGCAAATCTGAAATAAAATTCATATACTTAACTCAAATATTCTAGATAATAAAATTATCTAAAAAAATAATAAGATTCAACAAATTATAAGATACAAAAAAGTAAATAAAGTATTTTGAAACAGTGTGTTCGAGCTCTATTGTTACAATCTACAATTGTTGTTGCATTTAACTGACTTCATCATAAATATTGCTAAAATAATTGAATTATATTTATAGAACTGTGAAAACTAACGTGGATATTTCGTTAGGAATTCCAATTGTGAAGGGAAGAAAAATTAAAATTTATAATAGGTTATCTAAACTCTCGGAAGTATATAAGAAATTTAATCCGAGAGATCACTGTAAGATGCTGTAAGATCAATGAAGACCAGACGACAAGCACAAGTGGAAGAAATTGCACCCAGAGTGCAGCACCCTTGTTTTCTGTGTCCTTTAATAGATGGCAGGGTTGACGTGTTACGCATGGCGGAAGCATGTGCAGTGAGATTATTTCCGCATGATTAATACACTTCAAATAATTATAACAAAGTAAATTATAATCAAAAGATCTACGTATACAAACTTGAAGTTTTTGAAATCTTATTAATAAATTACTTGATACTCTCGGATCATTGTTCTACATTTAACTATAAAAATATAACATAACAGCTCTACAAAAAGCAGAATTACTTTCAATATAAGTAGACTTTTCGATAAAAATTTGATGCAATTTCAAATTTATTATAATCGTACAAGAAATAAAAGATTACAATGCATATCTGGGAATGTGTTTCGCTACGCAATAAAAAATACGATATTAAATACGCGATATTTTAGAATCATCCTTCATCGTTATAAATCGAAGGCAAGCTGGAATTCGTGGACTCGGACGACGATTTGTGATCAAACGTGAAAAGGCACTTCGGCTGATATTGCTCTACAGCTTCAAGAAGGCTGTCCGGATAACCAGGTGAATAATACCTGAAACAATTTTCATGATACGCAGATGTAAAAGAAGCGAATAAATGATAAGGAGTTTGCTTTTGTCTCAAATATGTTTTTCAAAAGGGAATCGAAATTTGTGAAGAGCGCCATTGAAGAAAGAAAATCAGAAATGTAATCCACTTTACCAGTTGACATAAAAACAGATTACAATTTATTGTTAGTAAATGTAAAGGTAAAACACATGCGGCGTCGCACATGTAAAGAAATATTTATAAGCAAAAGAATTGTGCAATAATTGCGCGAAAAGGAAAAAAAAAAAAGTAACCACTCTCGATGTATCGCGCGAATATCAGAAATCGGGACGTAACGCGTTATTGATCCGCTGCCGAGCAGCGCCTCGCGTTTGTGTACTTTAGGATCGCGGCGATCAGCTGGTGACACAACATGGCGAGCACGCCGTCTATCACTCGGCCGATTTAAATCGAGACACCGGGCGTCCAGAAACGGAGTCGCGCAGTTATTTGCACTTGCCGACGGCGTGAACGACGACATCGGCGACGACGACGACGGCGGACGGCGTGGCGCGTGTCGGCCGGATTTTTTAATAGACGCGAAGGAAGAGCGTGTGTCCGCAACCACTTCGTTGTACGCGTGAGTATTTCGTTCGCCGTGACAAAAGAGGGTTATGCGAAACGGAGCAACTAGTGTTTGCGAGCAATTAATTCGCTTGAATGACGCTTACGGTGAATGAAGATCTAACTTGTCCCCCCCTCCTCCCCGCAAAGGAGGCGTCGTCCTTTTTTTGAAGAGATCAATCGCCCTTTATCTGATTGTATGCAAACATAAAAATCACTTTGTAGCATGCTTGCACAAATCGCTGTACACTGCGCAAGAGGTTCATTATAAATTAATAACTGTCTTTAGTTTCTCGCGAGGCAAAGGACATTGAAATTATCGAAGAACGAGTGTGCAACTACGCAGAAAGTAGATTTAACGCGAAAGAATTAATGAGAACGTTGCGATGTTGCGAATTGTTCTGTAAGTTTTTTTTTTTTTTTCTTTAAATTCTACACCAAATAATTGAAAGAATATAGAGAATGGGAAGAGTCACCTGACAATTTCCTCCGGAAAACAGCAATTGATGATCGTTATATACTCTGAGAGCGTGGTACCAGGTTCGCTCTGAATCTCTTGCACTTTCTTCAAGCCGCCGGATGTCACAAACAGCCTCCTTGCACGGGCATCGTTCGGCAAAATCTACACACGCACATTACAAACGCATTATAACATTCTAACTTGAAAAAAATTAATCGATAAATACGAGTGAAGTGGGTGCACAAGTCACCGCAGGAATGGCAAGTAAACCAGTCCAAAATTGTTTATTCAAACTCTTGCAAGATCTTTTGAAGCAAACAGCATCCGCGCACATTCGTCGAATGAACAATCCATGAGTCTGCGTGTGCTTTTTGGCCAAAGAATTAAGTGCGACAAAGCGAATTATTTGTGAAGAATTTACAGAGAATGGAGCGATTAACGAATGAGCGATTGGTGTATTTTAATGAAAGTACACTCAAAAAAATATTTCGCTGATGTAGTTAGATTTCTAGATATCGCAACAAGAATGTATCGCTATTTTTCGTATCTGTGAAAACATTGTTTGTCACATATAGAATTTATAGCAGTAATGTTCTAGCAATAGCTTCTGAAAAATTTAGATACCATTGCTAAATGTTATTCATTGCATGATCTAACACGTGATTGATTTTATACAGATAGGCGCTTTAGAGAAACTTTCTTTTTAAAGTTCACAAACAATACAGATATATATTCTGTTTCTGTCATCTAAACTGATTAAGTAATTACATATGCAATATCACAACAGTTGCTAATCATTTATCTGTTTTAGTTAATTTTTTACACCTAGAAAATTTTAGCTATTATTGCAAGATCATTTTTTTGAGTGTAGATGCCGCACACGCGGCAGCGGTGCTGCGGGAAATACGCTGTAGGTGTAGGAAACATTATTAGCAATCACCGTGTCGCATGTTGCAATGCACCTAAGAATAAGGCTTCTGAAACCTGACCTGCATCACTGCTCGCGAGTACGCATTCGTTCTTGCCGAGCCTATTTTCTTATTTGCGGCGACCTGCGACGGAGGCTTCGCCTCGAGGAAGTCAGCGCAGATGGAAGAAGAGTATCTTATTCACATCGGCTGATATTCGGATCTCACATTTCCGAATGACAATAACTATTTTATCCGTTTAATATTCGTCACGCGTATTTTATTTATTCATTATTTATCGCGCGATATCGCGTGCTCTCCCTCTCGTAAATATACCTACGTCAAAGAGCGCGTACGCGCTATCCATCGTGTTTGTGACCATAATTTTGATTCATCAGTTAAGGCAATGCTTATTTATACGCAATTGAATAGATATATATTGAGCTTCGCTGTCTTTGACGTCATCGAGATAACGGCGATGGCAACAAGAAAGAATGAGAATAATATTCGGCTACAGAATAGCATATGGAAAAGTATATAGAGCGGCGCGGATTCTCTGTTGGTCCAAAGTTCGACGCGTCAAACTCATTGTCTTAACTCTTGCTTTTCGCTGCTTATTGAAATTTAATATTTGAAATCAGATAAAAGAAGTAAATAAAAAATAGAATGAATAAGTTATTCCTTACATTGATTCTAAATGATTTCTGTCCAAAGTCCAACTGTATAATTGTTTACGATAATACGAGGCCGATGAAAAAGAATCGAACGAATAACGAAAGCGATTCACTCATGTAAAAGTCATTTCGCAATCCGTTTTTGTGATTTTATCGAGCTGTTGCGTTTTAAACTGTCCTTTGCAAAAAAGTAGACGAGCTTAATTTGCACTCTCGAAGACGGAAAGGGATAAAACAAAAAGGTAGAACGAAACCTGAATGTCTATAACTTGGAATCGCTATATATGAAATTTTATTGACCAGTTCTCCACCGCTAACATGGAATTTCGTAAACAACACACATATTCGTTATTAATAGCCACCAATTTTGACGTAGTATTTACCACAGAGCGCGCGTACGCTGCGCAGTTTCTGAACAACATAAGAATAATTTATGTCCGCATAAATACGCAGAATATACAGAGTGTCTCAGAACTACGAAGCGTGAGTGGCTAATAAAAATAAATAGAAAATATTAATGAGCACAAATCCGCGAACTGATTAACTTTGAGGTATTCGCTCCTTTCTTCGATGCTACAATCACAATCGACGCGAGCCTATTATTTGGGCGATGCACCGAAGGTGCTTGTCAAATACCGCAAGAATCTCCAGACATCTTTGAGCGCGCACGTTCACGTGTGAGACGATACGCTAAATTACATATTGAATAGCCGCCAACTTGGACATCTGCTTTAAATACGAAAGTGGGTCTGAAATTTTTTGCAAAATTTATAAATTATTTATTTTGAGATTCGAACAATAGCTTATTGGACATCTGCTTTAAATACGAAAGTGGGTCTGAAATTTTTTGCGAAGTTATAAATTATTTATTTTGAGATTCGAACAGTGGCTTATTTTTTTATCACATTTTTCAAACACGCTTCTTTCAGCTCTTCGATTCCCCGAAGATAAATTCTTAGTCGGAGAATCATTTAGCATCGCGGCTCCCAAACTCCGTCATTAAAAAGCATCATGAACATCTGTTTAATATAAGCTCCACGCAGGCGAGACCTGGCGCCTGCAGATTGCCACGCATTCGAACCATTAAAAGATCTGAGTTGATCTGGATTGTATGGAAAGATTGTGGTAAGATGCTTTTCCAACGACGAGTTTAGACTCGCGGCACACAACCGGATTATTTCCCGACCGAAAGATCTTTTTCGAGGAATCGGAAAATTGCCGAAGGAGAGGCGTATAAAAAAAAACATGATGGAATGATAAATTACCATTTGAATTTTAGTGATAAATATTTATCTTTCAATAGCGACTTTGCGGAAAATTGTTGACTCGCTCTCGTATATCTAGTCTGAAGTCGCTCATAAATTGTTGACGCTTTTGAATCGTCGAGATATTAGTAATATTATCATTAATAATAATGGTCGGCAGTTTGTGTGAATATCTGCTCTAAACGCATCCAATCTAAAGTCGCTTATGAGTTGTTGACATTCTGAACTGAAGAGATATCAGCTGTCAGTTTGATCATCTGCTTTAAACCAATTTGAACCGCAGGAAAACTGAATTGATATTATTGAGATATTTCGACGAACGCTATCGATGGTTTGCGAAATAAAAAGCTGACCACTTTGAAAACAGTTAGCATAGCAAATATACATTCATCGAGCATTCTCGGTTCGTTTTTATAAGTTTTATTAGTCAGATTTATGTGTTGACCGAAATATCCTATAGAGACGACGCGTACTATTTGTTTAAATTTACATCACTCGCTCATAGCTTCCTGGTTTTCTGTTTGCAGTTTGTCGCTTGAATCATCGTCGTGAAGCTACGCCGCTGATATGCGGGAGGCAACGTACGTTTTCAACCACATTGCGTCACATCTGACGGCAGAAGCATCAAAATCGTTCGATTTTCAGAGCTCTTAATCAACTCGAACGTTCTGCGAGAAGAGCAATCAATTCGCACGCCATTATCCTCGGACAAAGCTGCATTTGGACTGAGACGTCTTCTCGAACACGTGGAAGTATTTGGAGTGGATTCGACAGATTGGAAATCGCGCGGACATTTCTTCGCAAGGACATCCAGAAATCGATCTGGATATAAATCAACCACGATTCGGCGACTGGAAATTTGAGAGATGCTTTAGCAAGGATGTCGTGCTGACTTCGCGTCGTAACAGTAGTCGTTTAGCATCACGAATGTACGTTCGGTACACAAAGCCCTGACAGCGAGACGTGACAGCTGCCTTAAATTTTCAAGATACGTGACAGCCCGAATTACGTAAAACAGGAACGCTTTATCGCTATTCACCTACAAGTTGTATCGTATATTTGTGCACCCGTGTATGCGTTAGCATATCTCTATAAAATCTGCTCCGCGAAGTCTCTTAAGCAGTTTTTCCGAGATCACACGATCGAGCGGCTGTTCCAGAAACGAATTGGCCATCGTTTATAATTTTCGGCATGCGATAAAAAACTTTTGAAGTATCCGGGACAATTAAATTGGCATTTCTAAACAGATTGTGTGCAAGTTTGTGTGAATAATATAAAAAGAAAAGTACGTGGCGTGCGTAACGGAATTTCAATTTCAACCAAAGTATCGAAGCTAGAGATCAAAATGATAAACAACCAGCATTGTGTGATTCTCAATACCGGCGAGACTAACAGTTATCATCAACCAGTCTCGGCCAAGCCCTCCGTCGTCTCTGTATCGAGCATCGACTCCGATGTCAGCGACAGGAGGGACGTACGCGAGGAATTGTACGCCGGGATCTTTAGGAGGCACAGAAAAACGATATTGGTACTAGGCAGTTTTCTCAAGATGCTAAGAGTGAATAGAAACATGAACAATTACGCTAGCATTAAACCCAATGACGAGACAGATGAATAAGTGAATATCATTGTTGGAGCAACGGAGAGAATTTGCGTTTTAGATTGTATATATAATTTGAATATAAAGCTCGCTTCGTAGCCGCGTTCATTGCATATGAAAAGGAGGAGGTAATGAAAGAAATCGATTCTATCTTATGTCCACTGTAACCGATCCATATTTCGCGACGTAAATCTCGTGGTGTATAGAATTCTTACAATCTTACATGCGGTATGTCAAACAGAACACACGCGAATGATAAACAAATATCGGTGATGTGAATTTTATTTTACGTATTGTGCAATGTGCGCATAAAATTATATAAATCCAATTTAAACTGTAATATAGAAAAATTAAATCTAAAGTTCTGTCCCGAATTACGTCATGAATTGCAAAGTCGTATAATGTGAGCGTGAGTGTAGAATTTATTTGGACACATTTCTTTTTCCTTTTTATATGTAATGAATGCAGCTAGATATTTTTGACAATTTTTTTAAACGTAACTCGTAGGGAATCCGAAACGTACGGAGAAAGAAATTCTGTAAATAAGTAAATTTGTATATTCGTAAAAATTTCTTGAAACATCAAAGGATAATCGGTATCGGTTTTAGACTGCATAAACGTATAAGTTTTGTATAGTATTGCTCTGCGAATATTTGTCTTTAATTATTTTATAAATAACGGTCCAAAATAATTAGAGTAAATAAGATTCAATTTTAATATTTAGACATTTAAGATTTTATTTAACGACTTATTTCACTGCTTTTTTTAAACTTTTTTTCCTTGATTTATGTACATATATCTTTCTGGTTATTTTTTTTAATTTTCAAAGAAAGGAAAGCCTTTCTCCTTCTATCTCATTGATTAAGTAACGAGATCAATTGAAGAAAACTGCCAGTGGAAAGGTTTACACAAATAAGGAAGAAATTCTTGTACATCTATAAACATTTTAATTGTTATAAAAGTGCGAAAAAAAGTGCAAAAAATTCAACAAACGTAAACAATCTGCCTATCGATACAATTAATTCTTATTAATATCGACATGAAAGTTTATTCCGATATATCTTTTTTACGTTATCGTCATTGGTTTTAATAATAATTCTATAGTGGTTCTTAATAATTCTTAATAATCTTGATTCTCTCAATATATTTCTTAACTTGTATCTCACCATTTTTATGTCAGTATTCATTAATGACGTACTTATGTGTGAAAAAAATGTGCAACATTAAACAATCTTCTTTTTGTTTTGCAGAAATATTTGGACAGATTGCATGCTCTGAGCCGAATATATGCCTTAATTGCTTTAAGAACCGAGGCACACCAAAAATTTTGGTAAAACTCGCGCTGTTCTTCTGCATTTCACACCGTGCATTGTACACTTGCATTTTGAAATTTTTACGTCTCTTTCAATATGCGTCGTCTCATGTCCGATATTAAAGTGCAACATTTATGTTTTAACAATGTGATGTTAAACACTTTACGCTTTCACGATACGTATATCGAGTATATATATATATGTTTATATATATATATATTCTTTTATAGAATTTTAAACAAACTCTTTCTGTTCAGGATTGTCTTTAACGTTGCAAAGACAAAATGGACCATTCAAATCGGTCAATACCTTAATGTATACTGCAATTATACTATCTGTGTTATTGTTGACGAGCTTAATATTATCAAAGAGAGATATATAACTGAAAGCGTATGTATAACAGTATAAGATTTGTATAATAGATATGGACTAATGCGAGTATTGCGATACACCGGCGTAAGTGGAAACTTGGGGGAGAGTAAACTTGTACATATTATCTTTTTGCGTGTTGATTTTTTGAGATAGCGCTAGCAAGAGTACGAAATACACGCTAACATCTTGTATGCGTGGCTTAGACGCGAATAGAGTAGATTTTTGCCTTGTATTCAACTTCAGATTGACTGTCCGATTTTTTTAATCGACCAACAAGCTGCTCGAACAGCTGCAGATTTCCTCAGTCTCATTGTACGCGAATATCCAGCGCGTTCGAGTGCCATAATTTAGCTAGCGCCACTTCAAGGTTGACGAACAACAAGATTTACACATTTCACTCTCTTCCAAAATTGTTCCGCTCGTCCCGGTGTACCTTGCATGACCTATTGTTCGATGATTTGATGTTTTTTCTACTCTCTTTTATCGGTTGATCGTTCGATTAATCACCAATATTTACCGAGCTCATTCGACCGCTCTTCGTTGTCCATATCTAAATCCTTTTTGTACGATTTGCGTCTTTACATCAGATACTGCCATTAGAGAGACTAAATTACAATATACACATGCGAATTAGCGAGCAGTTACGAAAAAAAAAATAAAAGGATTGTGCGTCTAACAATTTCCTGAGGCACACTTGAAGCAACAAATTCTTGAATGAGTATCTACTTGATAAGCCAAATGCGTCTCTGTACTTAGCCGTACCACTCGCTGTCGTAAGACTGAAAAAATGTGCTCTTTTAGAACATCAAACGTGCCATACTGTCTTAGAGAAAGCGTCGGAGAAGGAGGACCTCTTGCATATTTATCAACTTTTCAATTGCAGTTGATCTCCCGACGCGTATTATGATGCGAAGCATATCCGTGCGTACTGTTTGCGTACTTCGCAAACGGCGACGCACATCGCAACCGCGTTCTGTACTTAGGTCCGAGATTACGGCCGGATCGGAAGATCAAGGTGGCTACGGTTATAGAGATCGATCAAAGAAATCTGTAAGGCTGTAAGTCATTCGCGCGATCTATTTAAGTATTGTGCATACCGTTATATATATGTATTGCGATTACATAGCGTTAAAGATTATTTGAAACTTGAAGAAAAAAAATATGTACTTGGAAGCTGCGTACAATGGTTTCTACGAACTGAGAAACAAGAAACATTCTACCGCCGCCTTACGCAGCCGCTTGTGACCAATTTTTAAGTAGAGCCCAAAATTTGTATATCGAATTGCTTCGTCAGCGCTTTGCATATATATATATATTTAAGTGCCGCGCGATGTAGAGTGCTGCGCTAATTATTGAAATGAGATTTTCATTGATAAATAAAGAGGGGGGAAAGCGAGCGAGGGGGGTATTTGGTCCGCATTCGATCGTCGAGACTCTACGTGATTTTTGTAACGAGTAAATATGTCCTAAATGCGTTATTGTGTTGGATGAGAAGAAGTTTGTATTATCACTTTGTATAATTAGAGCGTATCATTAGAACGTATCACACGAGGAATTATGTATGTGGAAGGAAACATACAATAAAATATTCATATTATGTTTAATAAGTCTTCAGATTCGCCGCCTTTCGCCGTATCGAGCGTTATTAAATCGCATTAGACTGTGAAGAGAACTTTATACAATTACAGAAATGATGAAATCTTACCTTGCTGAACTGCCCTAATACATACTTCAGGATATTGGGCGGCACATCGTGCAGCAGAGGCTCGAGAGCCTCGATATACACGCACTTTTGCAAGACTTGCTTCAGCGCTGCGTTACACTTCGCCTTGAGATCCTCGGAGCTCTTCGGATCGTTGTGCAACTACACGAGATCGTAATTTACAAAATAAAATGACACTGGGCCAATTTTCACATTGTGAACGACTCAACATTCTTATACCTCCAACAACTTAGACAATATGTTCGCAACCGCGACCGCTTTCGCGTGTTCGGACGAGTGCTTGCCGATCTGCCCGATCGTCCATGCGGTCACCGCGAGAATGTGATCCTCCGTTTCCTCTTGCAAAACGATCGCCAATTGTACAATACCCTGCGGAAGAAGTAGTTTAGAAGTCAGGCGCGGTGACGGTATAAATAACTTCACACGACGATTGAGAAAAAATTCAAATTTAAAATCTGAATAATTTAAGAAGCAAATTATTAATAAGATGTGTTATATTCCTCCCCGTAGTTGTAATTCAATACGACTGCAGTGTGGAATCAAGAGTCCCAAGTGAAAAAATTGAGCGCTACTTTTACTCGAATTAATTCGTACTTTGGATCCTATCACGGCCAAAGCCAGCTGATCGCAGTGACCGGCGATATATCCGAGCGCCATGATCGCCGGTAATCTGCTCGCAGATTTTGAGGCGCTGATTAGCTCGATTAGCGCAGCGATACCTCCGTTGTTCACTACAAGTTGCGCCAACTGAAAGCGCGCATTGAAAATGAGGGGTGAGGACTTTCTCGCTATGAAAAAAAAGTCTGCCATCCTGCTCACTTCCAGCGTGTGCTTGCAGATCTCCCTTGTTAATACGGCCGCGACCCTGCCGACGTTCTCATCCGGATGCGCCATGTGCATCAGAACGTCCGGAAAGACTTCCGCCTCCACCACAGCCTCCGCCAGATACGCGGAGTGTTTAGCTATACTGCTTAGCGCTAACAATGCTTGACGCTGCAAACATTACGTGTAACGAGACGTTATGATATTTCTTAACGATTGCTCGACGTGTAATCCACGTTGACTTCACCTTCGCTTTGGCGTCCGGGTTTGCCAAGGTTTTCGCGAGAAAGACGATCGCACCTGCGTCCACTATCGATTGCGCAAGTTCGGTACTGTGCTTACTTATGTCGCTAATAGCCGACGCAGCGATTTGTTTAATGTACAACTCGGGCTCTTGCAAGCACAGTACGAGGAGCTGCACTGCGCCTGACAACGATATAATCGGATGTATTATAGAAGTACAAAAAATGATGGGTAGAATTCTATTCGCCAACTGCAAATCGTTGAACTTTACGGAAGATGTTGATTAAAATGACTTTTTACCGGCGTCCACTGCCGCTTGAGCCAAGTTCTTGTTGTGCCTCGCGATGTAACCCAGCGCCCAAGCGGCCGCTTCCTTCACGCCGGGATCGAAATCTTCCAAACATTCAATTATAGTGTACATTCCTTCGTTGTGCACCACTATCAACGCTAGCTCCGACGAATGTTTCGCTATCGCTCGCAAGACAAAAAGCGCTGCCTTCTTGTAAAATTTCTGTGGCAATATGTATATTCTCATGTTAATTGGATATGCAAAAGCACAGCTTTATAACGGATACAAAAGATTCATAAAATTATCGTAAGCTACAAATGTCTTTCATAATGAAAAAAATAGAATGCCAAAGATTTGTTCTTCGAGTTCTGTCACGATTAAAGTGCTTACATTTAAGGAGCTCATACATTTTGTTTGTCAATGTTCTTCAGCAATTGTGGCAATATGTCTTTCCTGACGACGACGTACGCCAGTCTGGAATTATGATTCGCTAGCTTGCCTAAAGCGATCGCTGCCATGTGTTGTATGGATGGCACGGAATCCGCTAATAAAGGACGTAACAGATCTATCGCACCCGCCGCTTCCAGGCTATCGATATTATTAGGTTTCGAGGCTAAATCTGCGACAGATTGTACGAAGAGCAATCGCGCCTTTTGATACTGATCGAAAACTACAAGCGCAAAAAAAAAAGAAATTATATTATTAACAATATATAGCAATATAAGATATCTTAATATATTCATTTATGAAATTATATCAGCAAATATACATATATATATTTATATAATATATCAGAGAGCTATATAAATATATATTAAAAATACGTTCTTCAGTTAATTTCAAGTGAGAATTTGAAACAAATATAAAAAAAAGTGTACCTTGTAGAATTGTGCGTGCCGTCATATTAATTCACCGGAAAGTGTCAGACATTGCATTAAATATAAACTACTATTGCCATCCAATTTGTAACACTCTGTGCGACACCAAGGACGGTTTCGGACAGCTTTTAACGAAATCGTCGTTTGTTTGAAAACGAAAAATTGCCATTTTCATAGTAAAGTCGCGATAGATTAGACGTTTGTTTTAACAATTAACCCTTTTTAATTCAACCAATAGTGATTCTGCTCTGTTGAATAATTCAATTTCTATTAATTGCTAACTTCTTAATAATAACGTTACATAACAAGTTACAGCGTTAATGATAGTTTTTATACATGCTTTATTATAAACAATAATTATATAAATACATTATACATATTATCTATCTTCTTATATTATACTCTTATTATACAAATTATTTATAAGAATTATCGATATACCTCAAACTTTATACATCATTAATTGGCAGGCCTGCCAATTAATTCTTGTTCCCTGCGCAACTCTTGCTCACGTTGATGTTCCTTGTTCAACGCTTCCTTCTGTTTTACTTGCTGCAGGCGTAACGCGCGTTTCTGCAACATATATTCGTATTTAATATAAATAAAAAATTTTTGCTGTTACGCAAGATACACCTGAAAACAAGTTTCACAATAACTCACCTTTAACTTGGAAGTCCTTTCATGAATATTAATCATTTCTTTCCTTATCGATACCAATTTTCCTTGATAAATTTTAACTGTTGCAAACTGCAACATGTAACCTTCTTTGTATAATTCTTTCATATTACAAAATGCAAAATTTTAATATCAAATTCCAAATACATTAGAATATTGATATTTATAATATAAATCTTACCATATCATTTAAATCTATATCTTCAAACGTTTCTTGTATCCTTTTGTTTTCCAACTGCATTCCAGAGAGCAGAGCCTCTTGTTTACTCCTATGAGAAAAAGTATGACACATCAAGATTAAATATAATCTTTATCCGATAAAATCTTTAGTATTTGTAAATTAGTGGTTTACATGCTTACGTTAGCTCGAAAAGTTCTTTCTTAACTTGTTCCAATGGAGGTTGATAAACACTCAGAAGACCTTCAGCCAGTTTTTCTGTAGCTTCTGAGAAGTCCAGTATACAGTCCTCACTATTAAAGAATGAATAATACCGTTAAACTATAAAATAAAAATCATTAAAATTAATTTAACATTATAATGCTTTTGTCTTTACGTCTTTTCTCTCGCTGAAAACAAATAAACGATTTAATGTAAACAAGTATACAAGAAGAGGTTACTTTTTTTCCTCCTCGGGTTTTAATTGAATTTCCGCCGCTTCCACTTCTCCTACGTCGGTCATCATCTTCGTCGTTGCTCTTTTTCACCTCATTCACGATTATACACATCAAGTATAACTATGCGCATCAAAGATTTGCAAAGAAAGAAATCTAACATCTAACAGTGCGACGCATATCCATATCAGCTGTGTGAAGCGGACATACTGAATTCTGTCAAACTCCGTGAGAAACGCAGATTATTGAAGGTTATGTTTACTCTGAGCACGTGTAAAGCGATCGTTTTATAAGTACAGAAAAATGGCTAGAAAAAGTTTTGCCGATAAAATAAATGACTTGCTTACAACAAAACCGGATCTTGTCTCCGACGAAGAGCCTGAGGAAACGAAGGCAAAAATAGTGGAACGTTATGATGAGAGCGGTGCCTCTGATGATGAATTCCGACAATCCAAAATTCGCAGGCAAAATGTTGATACATTGGATAAAGTGGATGAAAGGTAAAATTACGCATTTATATTTGGCTTTGTGTACGAAATAAATAATTATTATACAAAATAAATAATTATCTATATAAAATTTTTGATTGCCCTAACATTTATGTAATTTACTCATGCTTATTGTTACTTTATTGTCAACACAGGTATGCTGGTAGAAAGGTTTCAAGAAAAGATATATACAGCGATGAAGATGATAATATGAGTGAAAGTGTGGAAAGCAATAACTCTGAGGAAGATGAGGAAGATGAAGAGATAGAAAGTACGCTGGAACAAGATGAGGATAAGTCGGACAGTAACGAGGAGTCAGAGTTGGAACAGGAATCAGAAGAAGCCGACTCAGTTTCTGAAGAAGAGGATGAATACAGCATGGATATAAGCAACTCGCTGCACAAACAGAGCGACTCCGCCATTAAAACAATGTCTGAGACAAATGTTAGGACGGAAGTAGAGAAAGGCAACTGTATCAGGAATCAGTTGAAGATTTGGGAGAATTTATCAGAGATGCGAATAAAGCTGCAGAAATGCATTGTAACTAGTAATCAAATGCCGCAATATGACACACATAAGGAACTCAGATCACATGCAGACTTTGTCAAGAAAATTAGTGAGTCTAAATCCAAACTGATGCTGCTTGTGAACAACATGTTAGAATTGAAAGACCTCTTGTTGAAGCAATATCCTGAAACAAGAAATTTATGCGCCAGCGCTAAGAAGAGAAAAGCTGACAATGAAGAGAATGCAGACGATCCGATGGACGAAGAAATACCCTCCGACACGGAAGACGAATTAGAAGATGGAGAAGAACCTTCTGTCGGTAAAGATAAAGAAGCAGCTAAGGAATCAGCACCGCGAAAACGACTGAAGTACAACGAAACCGAAAAAGTGTTGCAAGAAAATCATGATTCCTACAAAGAATACAGAAATTCTGTCATAAAGAAATGGAATGACAAGACACGGATTGCCACAGGTTCACTGAACAAGAACTCCGGTCAGAGTACGTTGAAACAAATTGAATTTGCCATGAGCGACATGAGCAAGTTACGGAAAAGAACTCAGCTGAAGCGTTCCGAGTACAGCATTGTCGGTAAATCCTCGTCGACCGAAGACGATGACGGCAGAAGAGTTCAAGAGTACGATCCGGAAATTTATGACGATAACGATTTCTACCACCAGCTATTGAAAGATCTGATAGAGTATAAATCGTCAGACGTGACGGATCCCATACAGCTAAGCAAACAGATGATCCGATTGCAGAATATGCGTACGAAAATGAAGAGGAAGATTGATACTCGCGCGACGAAGGGCAGAAGGGTACGATATAACGTTCACACTAAATTAGTGAATTTTATGGCGCCTATTACAGTATACGACACATGGACCGACAGTGCGAAAAACGAGTTGTACAGTTCGTTATTCGGTAAAATTAAGCCAATAGAAGAGCAGATAAAATATTTATAGCTACAATAAAATATCTATATAATTATTAAAAATTAACAACATTGTTGCTAAAAGAAAAAATCAGGACTGATTTATTATTTAAATCGATCATTTCCTAATTCGTTTACGATGCTAAAAAATATTTCTCTTTTTTTCTATCATTGTCTTAATTGAGTTCAAGATGTTACTATTTTTAAAGTTAAAAATGACAAAAGAACATATTGCTTCCAAGCCAATAAATTGTATAAGACGATTTGTTAATATTTCTTTTTTTACCAAAGAAATACATAACTAATAATAATGTACTTAGTTTTAATTATTAATAAAATAAAGATTATTTATAAAGAAAAAGAATTTAAATAAGCACTTCAATCCTTGATAAAAACTACAGCTAAATTCTAGTACTGATATACATATTTACATACTATATCGTTGCTTTACACACATACACACATAATTTAATGATATAAGAGAATATCTTTTAGTAATAAATTGCACAGTTATTTGTCATATTTGTTTTATTATTACAAACATGCTACAAAATTTTGCAAATATAAAAGTTTAAAATTATAAATTTATTATTATAATATTTGATATATGAAGATAAAAATATATAAAATATAAAACACATTAAATTATTAAAATTACGTTTAAAAACATTGATTTTAGTTATTCTAAATAAAAATGAAATAATCTATCAATAATATATAGTTATAATATCTAAATAAAATAATTGTTTAAATTAAATATAAAAATTTAAGGAACTTTCTGCATTTTTTTGATGTTTTCGTTTGACTCGACAGTGGCCTTATTATATAGCCCTTTATTTTTTTAAAGACGAAAACATACCTTGAAAGCATTCAATGCTATCGATCACAGTAACTTCCTTTGGATTGTATGGGAGCATTTTCTTCATTTTGTCATTATATATGGATGTTATATGCACTGATATTTTAGGAGTCTTTTTATTTATGAATTCCTAAAAAGTAACATGCAAAACAATGTTAGTTTCATTTCAACATAAGCCATTAATAATCTCATTTTTAAAACAAGAATTTTAGTATGCGCAAAAGAGTGATTTTCTAACAATAACTAATCTTTCGTTAAACTTTCCCTATCTAATCTTTAAATGAATTACAATGTATCTTGTATATAAAGAAAAATCTAGACATAGTTACCTGATAAAAGTTATACACCTCCTGCGGCATTATATTCTTTATGCATTCTATTGAGTCTTGGATTCGCGTAAAGTTATAGTTCCTAGTTATAGTCTCATTCCAAATTGCTTTAGACAGTTCAGTCATTGTTTTTGGTTTTGAACAACGTGATGCAATAAATTCATCCTTTTTCTTCAAGAAATCCTCTGTGCTTAAGTGTTCTATGTAATGCTAAAATGTAAGTAATAATATTATGAGCAATATTTTTTAATGAATTTTTTTCTCTTGTGAAAAAATTTTACTACAGATTTTCGACATATTACATAATGTATTGCACAATGTTATTGCCTACCGCCATGTCGGCTATAAATTCGTCGATTTTTTCGTTCATTTTTAAATGCACGTGTTCATGTGAACCATGAATTAAGAATGTCAAGCCTTGCGTAATTTTTGTTGTAAGCATCCCGCAATGCATGTAATAATCTAATAATTTGTTTTTTGACATCCAATCATAACAACGTTCTTCCATTATTTTTTGTATGAATTGCACGAGCACGTCTGTCCTTATGTCTCGCTTAGGAATTTGGTAGAATACTTTTGTACTTGAACTCAAGTGGTGCTCATTATAAGCTTGAAATACTAAATGTTCAGCTAAAATAAGTTTGAAAAGTTTTTCAATATCCAATATCCAATTTCCATATAGTGTTGAAACTATGATTTTTACTTTAATTGTTCCATTTAATAATTTAGAAGTGATAAAAAAAATATCCATTGTATATATATATAAATTAGTGTGTATAATTATTACATTAATCAACTACATTAGTTGCATGCACACTTACGTTCTTGAACTATGAAAAAACGTTCGTTTAGCCACATGTTCTCTAAATACTTGGCTGGTATTCGTTTTGCATTTGCACTCAGTTTAGCCTCGATTAACTCAGTAATGTTTCTAGCTTCTTCAGGAGTTATGTTACCGTGTATTAAACACTCCACGAATACCATAGAGAAAAGCTTCGATATGAACTTGTCGAATGTCTCAAAAGTTACTTCTGCATAATGTCGTTAAAAACGTGTTTGAATATTTAAACATATTATGTTATGCGTGATTAAAAGAAATCACTTATATAGAAAAGTATTTTTCAATGGAGAAATATATTATAATAACGAATTAATGAAGATTCTTTTATACACTTACTCTCATATTGCTGCCATATTTCCTTCTTCATCGGCCTATCGATCAACATGTGTAAGAGATACTCTTCTGCTTGATTATATGGTTGATCTTCCTTGAATTTCTTGAGCTGGCTAATGCTAAGCTCCGTATTCTGTAAATCATTCGGAATAAGTCGCGTTGCAGTTTAATTTAATGGAAAATCCTGTATCTCATTATACATACACGTTCTTTAGCGACTTTGAACATATCCGTATCTAACTTGAAATTGATCATTCGGTCGATGATTTTTTCTATTATTACATGTTGCTTATTATCGAAACCATTTATTTCAATCTGGAGAAAAAATGATTTTTTTTTAACAAATAATTATAAATTTCATATAATATTGTGTAATTTAGATAAACATTATACATATGCATATATGTATATTGGACAGATGTTATTCCGTGAAGACAAAGTTAGGCAAGTTTGCAAATAAAAAATGAAATTTTTGATGAATAAGAAACAACCTTAGGTAAAAAATTTTTATATTGCAGAATAAAATGTGACAATCAAAATTTTATTCCGCATTATTAAATGTTATTATTGCTGTTATTGGTATTATTATTTTTTAAATATTTGTATCGTTATTTTACTCACTTGAATTCCGTTGGCAGTAGCATAAATTTCCCATTTTAAGTCAACTAAAGCAGCAGCGTATACATAATCATGCAAAGATTCTTTAAGAAGCCGGACAAACATAAAATTAAAATGGGTGTGAAGAATATTTACTTTAGCAAAGACGTGTGGACTGCAAAATTACACTAAGCGTCATTACAATGATTACATTCGTTTGTTACAAAAATGTATTCAAGCTCGTCGCTTACCAGATAAAATGAATGATCGTGTTAACTTTTGGTGCTTCGAATTCAGGACATCTTTTATACCAAACTCTCGCAAAAGGCTCAGCATTTATAGCTGCAGGATAGAACTTTGGTCGCTGTAAAATTTCCGCTGTTGTATTATAATACCCAAGTAGTGTACAACCAAATGATACAATTGTGAAAGAGAAAATTCTTTGTGCAAAATCAAATCAAAGTTGTAGATTAATTTTCTTTTTGTACAAGATTTTATTTCGAAAAAGATAGATTTTAAACGATGGATAACGCAGACGATTTTTCTTATTTTTTTATAAACTTGAATGACTCGTAATAAAAATCTTGTATAAAATAAGACACGATACATGTTTCAACAACTATTGTTATTAAAATAAAATTAAAAAATAGAAAACATCTTTAAAAAAAAAATTTGTAAGTCACTCAAGTTTAATAAGTATAAGCGACAATTATTAATTTTATTAATTCTCGAAATAAATTTTTTTCTGAAAATTAAACTTTGCGCGAAAAAATTGATTTTACACTTTTGACTTGTTTTTGCACGAGGAATCATTTTTTTCAAGGTTGTATCGTAATTAGGATTGATTCTGTGGAAATTAATAAGCATTGGCGCTCTTTGTTATATCCATTATAATATCAAAAGCGACATATGTGAAGAAAAAAAGTATATTTTAAATTTGCTTCTGTATTTCTGTATCAATATGCATCTTACAACAGTGTTGAGATAACTAAATTTTAGGTAAATTTATTTAATTTTACGAAAGTTTTATATTGCGCCAATGCTTGGCAGTTCATACAAACGGAATTACTGTCTCGATGATTGAATATGGCTTCAAACCAGCCACTGTCGGTATAAACTCGTTTCTGGCAGGTAACTTCAACTCCGTATGTGCCTTCATCCATTTAGTACACATTTCCCTTGATATGGTCTCGGCTTTGTATAGTATTGAGCACTCAGGTTCAATATTCGTCAACTCGTCCTCTTGTACATGTCCTTTAGTTCTTTTATCGATTACAAAAATCCTAATCTTCTGTGGTAATGGGTTTAACAACTGAGATATTTTACATTCCAAATTACTTTTATTCCATACGTAGGGCACAAAACCGACGCGAAGAATGTTGTGTAGCTCTTTGTCTATACAGTACAACATTTTTCGACTAATGTCTCGAACATCATTCATAATTGATTGCCTTGTTTCATAGCGGAATTTCAGTTCTTGGATTTCTTTAAATTCCTGTAAACATAAAATGTATATATTATGCGTATAATTTTCATATAATAATAATGAAATGTATATTATCTATATTCGATAAAAGTCACGCAGCGCACAATTGGCGCAAAAGTCTTTTTTTATTTCAACAATTTAAAACAAAAATTTATATCGCAAGGTAAACTTTATTTCTTGTTTATTCGTGTATTCACGGATAATCATCTCACCGATCGTTACAGTACAAAATTTACAATAAATATATAAAATCATATCTTACATTGTACATCCATCTCTCCGTGATTCTTTTTCTCAGCAAGTTGTTATATTGAAATAACAATGCGACAATATCATCGACATGTTTTAAGCCTTCTTCAGTCAATTTCATGCCAATATTCATGAAATTGTAATACGAGCCGCAGGGGTGGCTTATGGCTTCGATGCAAGTGATCCAACCTTTCGACTCTAAAACTGACGCAAACGTTTTCTCGCCTCTGTATGTGAGCAAATAAACGAAGTAACGCTCAACCTAAATTATAATTTTTTTTTAAATATTTCCATTAATGCTACATTCTTATTTTGACAGTTTTGAAATAACGACGAAATACTTAATATTGAATAAGACTCTTATGATTAAACAATCAAGATGATGTAAATAAAGGCTTTAGAGCCTCAACAGTTTATTAAATTAATTTTGTTAATTTTGTTATTAATATCCCCCTTTTTATTCACATCACCTTGATTACTTAAAATTCTGGCTTATTTGTAAAAAACATTTCCGAAAGAGTTAATGATAATGATGAGATAATAATTTAATAATATTAAAATTAATAATTGCTGAGTACTATTGATTATATAAGTGCGTAAAATTAATTATTCTATAATTATCACAAATAATAAAGTAATACTAGTGTAAAATGTTATAGCTGTAAAAAGTTATTAACTTACCGCCATTCTTTTATCCAAATCACCCACAGAGTACATTATATATAATCTCGATTCATTTACTGCGATATCACGGCACCATATTTTGTGTATAAGTTCACACGAAGGTTCATGCCATAGATAAGATTTTAATAAACGCCTCCTTAGTAGCGGGAAGAAGAATTTCAATATCATGGCAGAAAGATCATCTAAGCTTTCTAAAATTCATTTATTAGCTTAAAATGCAATAAAAATTAGAAAAATTTCATATCAAACAGTGTTTAAATTAAATTAAAGTAGCCTGAAATAATTATAAAAAATATTTCGTTTATATATGATATTCTATAAAATTGATATTTTTACGATATTGTTGAAAACTGAGCTGCAGATACCTAGTTTTACTTTTAATTTGTTCGAGATTTATTAGTACATATAAAAAAAATTCGATTGCAATGTGTTGTGTCTTTTATCAAATTTGTCAAAAAAAAAAAAAAACATTGAAAACAAATGTAAACACAAAAAATAAATAACTTAATCAAAAAGCTTGAATTTCGCGCAAATTTTCAGAATAAATATTAGAATAATCTATGAAATTTTCACGGTTTTGCAAATTGTTTAATATTTATACATCTATACATCTACTTATTAGACATTTGCAAATTACATCATCGTACCTTTGCCCACGACGCACAATGACATAATATCCGCACCGTACTCCACGGGAAAGAATAGCTGTAAGTAATCCTTAACGCAGAGTATCGGCTTTTCATATGCCGTATATATAGTGCCGAATTTATTTTTCGTCATATCATGAGTCGAGTCTATATTCCATTTAAATAGCTTCGATAATCTGTAATTTACAATCTGTTGAGTTTCCTTGTCTTCATCGTACATCCTGCCAAGTAATAACTCTTCGAGGTACTCGTCAGTGACCTCTTTGGGCAGTGCCTTGAAAAGTCCGGCAAATTGCTCTAAGGCTTGCTTAAACATTTCCGCCTTTATATCGAAGTAATACGTGGTGGTTTCGTCAAGCGTTTGGCTATCGATAATGCCTGAATTCTTCATTACATACTTTGCGAACTCATTGTTTGGACGTGAAGCATACAGCACATGTTGATATAAGTGGGCAAACCCTTCTACATGATTCTGCTTGTAACCTGCACGGTAACGTAATTTATTTCCATTAATGCCAATTAAAACAATACGTGTTAATAATTATAATTAATAGAAACATCGACGCATTTGTCAATTTAAAAAATTGTATCCTAGAAATTTTTGAAAATATTATGAAGACACGCACGGATGAGAAAGAATTTATCGCGTCTCGGTTCCTACGCGATTAAGTAATGAGAGAAGAATAATAAAATTGAACATTACCAAACTGTATGGTCAACGCAGCGGCGGCTTGATGAGTTGTCGGATCGCTTATTAAACATATTTTTAATCCATTGGCGAGTCTAAGAACTCTGTACTGTCTGTCGTCAGTTTCTGGTTTTTTTATGTTATTGTGTATCTGTGATATCACTTTCATCCACTCGTTCACATAACTGTGTGAACCAAATATTGTCGACTGCGATAGATCATTGAATGTCTTACGCATTTTACTTAGCGATATATCTTCCAATTTTGGATGACTATTAGACTTGCAGAACATGTTTATGCTCTCAAGTTGCAAATTTTATTTAAATGAGTCGTGGAACACTTAAAAAAAAACACAAAAATGTTAACAATTTGTATCGGTTTGTCGAAAAATATATTAATTAAAAATATATTAACAATTTGTATAAAAAAATATTAACTTTGTATCGATTTCTCATATTTGTTAATGCAATTATTTATATACAAGATATCCTATAAATAATACACCTAAATATTTCTAAAGGCTATACAAGATAATGATTTGAGCTTGAATTCTTCCATCGAGTTTAAAAGCAAACTTGAATTTTTCGAATAGCACTATATATATTTTTTTGGCGCTTTTAAAAAGTTTATTTTTTGCCGAGTTCAATAATGTTCAATAGAAAGTATATCTTTTAGTGTTCGAATTCACGATAATTTAACTCTATAATTTGTAAAAAGCACTATTTATAAGCGCGATTTATATTACATAGTAAATGTAACTTTGGTGGAAATATAAATATGTGTAATATATATTTTGTTTTCCAAATTTGATGAGTCAACATAAAACACACACATATGAACTGTTAGATTTGAATTTTATCCGTTATCTATCTTCCATCTTTTAGAAAATTAAAGCTACATAAAAACTTTGTTTCTTGTATATATATGCACAGAGAACAAAATTTTTATTACGTAAAAAGCTTATAAAATACAACAAACACATACAAAATATATATGAATAATGACTTGACTTACCTGCAATACAGCAATATATATACGTCGAGGAGCACAAGAATTTATTGACAGAGCAATGCAGTTGACGTCGACAAGTTATGCTTGATAAAACAGTTTTCCTCTAAAATAAAATAAGATTGCCATGGAACTGCTGTAATCTAAAGAGCCAAAAGAATCACACAAGAAATGTCGCACCTGTTCACTCGCTAGACACAAAATGATAGATCCGGTATATGTCGTGTACTTCAAAAGCCAACGACGTTCATGCACGACCTTTGAAAATATATTCTAAACAAATATACTTTCCGACGCACGTCAAATACACATCGTAACTGATGTCACGTATCGGCAGGTATCGGAGAAGAAAGAGAGAGAGAGGCGACATTTTAGGAATTTTCTGCTATTCCTTTCTTCACAATAGTGCATTATTTTCTCTCTTCTTCTATACTGCTAGATCTATCACTGTATGCCTAGATTTTCCTATGGCACATTGCTTCTAATTTTGCCTTTTTGTGATACGTTCATAAAAGCTCGTACCATAACAATGTTCGCGAACATTTTTAATGTAAAAACGTACGAGATTTGTTTTTTACAATTATACTTTCTGCATTTATACTTTTGAAATCAAATGAACATGTTCGAATATTAGGGGAAGAAAAAGAAAAAAAAGGTAGAGAGGGTGCAGTTCTGAAAAAGAACAGACCTGCGAAAATACCCGCAAGTATTAATCTTTCAATATTCTAATATTGAGCATATCGCAAATTTTTATTGTCTATTTACTGTTAAAACACAAAAAAATTCCGAGAGAAGAAATGTTAATCCATTTTACTTAATTATAAAAAACAATTGTAAATTCGAACATGAATAAGTAGTGTGTTTATTAATATTTTTCATTGCACACCATTCGAAAAAGAAAATTGAAGAGAATATGTGTGAAAGAAAAAATGCGAAAATGAACGAATCAACAATTGAGTAAAAGTAAACAAAAGAATGCAAAGTGTAAAAGTGGCTCTGAATACTTTCGGAAAATTCTCTTCGGCGGTGCCTTTCGTGCGACATTCGATTTGATACGACGTGAAATTTACATTCTCTCTGTACTCGGACGATGAGAATCAAAACATCCGAAAAAATGAAATACACATAAATAATGAGGTGTCAATTTCCGTGCGGAAAAATTCGTATCTCTCGTAGCGCGATCGGTGAACAGATTAGAATTCGCCAAACCAATTAATAATAATGATAATAATGATAATAATAATAATTATTATTATATTAATCCTCTTATACAATATTTATAATTTATAGCTCAGTTAACGGTAGGTTCCTGCCCCTCCGACTCGAAGGAGCGTTATGTTACATTCATTGCGGCTTGTCTCTCTCTCTCTCTCATCCGTCCTCTTCGCGCGTTTTACCTTATTAAAGTATACACACTTGGCATATAAAAATTACAAGGACAATTTATAATGATAATGGTAGTAGCGGTAGTTTTTTTTCTGTGTAGTAATAATGAGATAACCGGTAAGTTCTAGCGATAGTAGTTGCGTAATAATAGTCGTAGAAGTTAGTAGGTAGCAACTCTATAGCGGTAATGTGATAATAATGTTACTGATAAGTCGTTAATCGGATAACTAGGAATTATCCTGCGAATCACCGTTCCGCACGTATACTTGCATAAAGTTTCTCTCTCTTCCTCTCTCTCTCTCTCTCATTCTCACTTTCTCTCTCCGCGATAGTGTGATTTTCTTTTGTGAAAATGCACATTTTGTTATTTGTGCTTTTCCTTTTATGCGCTTCTCCTTGTTTTCTTTTTTAGCGATGACGTTAACTGCTAGCAGAATTCTTCGTTAATACTGTTTCTCCGCGACAAATATGACACAGATCCGATCGATTTTCTCCGATTTTCGCGCACGAATTCTCTGTTGTTAACATCACAGCTAGAAAATGCTCCGCGCCCCACGAACTGCGTTATCTTACAATTCACTGCAGAAAACATGAAGTAGTATATGAAATCACTTTCAAATAAGATGTTACAAATTATTCATGCACAGTGCACTCGCGCACATCCCACGGATATTATTATAAATTTGTTTATCTTATATATTTTCTTTATCACAAATATCGTATATTCAGGATCGTTTACGTATGATTTTTCCATAGATTAGAAAGATTTGGTCACACCTTGCTCTTTATTCATTATTAATTTTTATCAATCGTCCATCAAAATCAAAGAAAATTTATGTAATTCGTGTGAGTCACTAATTCGTTCAAAGAAACAGCAAGCTACAAACAAACCGGATGCCAAATTTGTTATAAAATTTAGAATAGCTGCATCAAACTGTGAAAAATGTTCTTTTGTATCTCTATTTGTAAAGTTTGTATAAAAAATTCTTATTGTTGATGAAGTATCTCTCAACCTGTAGTATCATAACTTTGTATATTTGTCAGTACACGCTTATGAGATAATAAAGAAGATAATAAATTTATCAACTAAGCACAAAGTGCGCCACTTTGTCCATAGTTCAGTAATGATTACGGTCTCTTCTCGCGCGCCGTGTGTGCTACACAATGCACAGCTAATTATATACTACTTCATATTTAGGAAAATGTTGCCTCTTGTGTTTTTGCAGCGTCGGATTTCCTCTGCTAGCACAATCAATCAACTACGATGCACGCGGGTGACGTTATTACATAACAAACGAAAGTCAGTACGTCTTTCATCACTGACGGGTTTTTTTTTTTTTTTTATTTTTTAGGCATTCGATGCTGAGGAACATCGAGTATGAAACGTAAAAGCCTACCACAATACGGAACATTGTAATAGAACACCTGATGTAGACACTAACAGACACGTTAATTCCAAGCGATGTTGCAAGAATTGTTTTTCGTAATTTCATAATCGATGTCCTTCGACAGCTAAACGTGTTGCTCGAATCCTCCCCACGTTCTCTATCCGCATTAAAATGAGCCCAACGGTATCTATACAATTTTTATTCTTCAATTATAATTTCGATTATATATAAGTGTCCACTTCAGACCAACAAATTCGTACCTTCTTTGGCGGCTTTTGGGGCGTAAAACCGCTTCGTCACGGAAATCAGCACGATCGCGCTGGCGCGACATGTAATTACTCGTTTAATGCCCGACGATTCAATGGAAAATTATATTACACCTTTGATTTACATTTAAAAAATGTGTCGATCGCACGGTAGACTGTGCAAAAAAGTCGATAAGTCTATTTAATATACATACGAATTATATATTGTACATATTATAACAAAAACATATCGTTACTTATATATACATATACAAGTTGTGTCTCGTCTTTCAAAACGTTTACACCGATCACACACGTCCGTTTCGTCAATGAAAAGAAAAAAAAAGAAAAAAAACAAACAAACAAACAAACAAAAAGAAAGAAGAGAATTTTATGAAAACTTCCGTGAACGACTATATAAGCTAGCTCGAGTACAGTAGCCGATTTTATTTTATTTTATTTTTTTATTACTAAATGAATTTATTTGGAAGTGAAGTATTGCAACATCGAATTAACAACTCAATAAACTATCCTTTAAAATGAGTATGCAGTAGAGTTCCACACCGCGACACGGGCCTAGATCGTATGGAAATTACAGGATCGCTAATAAATAATTCGTACATGTATATACATAGAGAAAGATAGATATACATATATGTACACACACCACACTCACTCGCGCACACACACTTATGTACATTCTAACTAGCAGTATATAATAACACTCAAATATATGTCGTACAAAAGTTCGGAATAACGTCGAAATCGTTTCTTTTTTTTTTTTCTTCTTTTTTTTTTCTTCTCCGCCAGCTCGGCCGAATTGAGCGTAAGGAAGGACGTTCAAACGGAAAAACTGAGTTTTCTCTCTCTCTCTCTCTCTCTCTACGAAAATTAATCGATATAATCAACACGGATGATTTCGTGAATGTGCTTTCGCTAAGCGAGCGTGCGATTATTCCATCCGGAAACTAGGAGAGACTCTCGACGAGACTATTTCTTATGATATGTGTGTGTGTGTGTGAAGCGATGATCTTACGATTTATGATTTACATGATGATTATGTCCTTAAAAGCGCGCAGGATGAATCGACTACGTTCGATATCGAACTCCAACTCAATCCGGACATTATTCAGTATTGCTGAAGACAATATACAAATTAATAACGTGAAACTGTGAACGCGCCGGAATCAAATCAAACGACTCTATCGAAATCGAATTAGATTCGAGTCGATGTAGTATACGAATTAACTAACTAATCACGATTTATTAATTAATTAATTATTAACCCGTAAATGCATCACGCTACAAATTCACGCAATAGACAATAATTTTGATTTACTTTCTCTTCGGCTACTAAAAATTCAAAAAATCCGCAACAAGATATTGAATTTGATTTTCTTAATACTGCGAAACTTTAATGCCGACTAAAAACAATATCCTAAATTTAAAATATACCGAACTGTCGAGCAGATTTATGCATTTAAGAGTGAAATTAATTAATTAACAGGAGCAAGACAAAGCAGAGCTGGATCAGGGATCAACATCCTCGGGGAAAACATATAGCGCACACACCGAAGCGTATCATGCAATGAAATATTCTTACTCCCGCTTATTCCAGCTCTATTTGGGTGCCGACCAGTCGGGAGCCGGACCTCGCGATATACTCTCTTTCATACTTATGTATACATTTATATTTAGATACATAGAAGGCGTCGAAGCTGCTACATACTAATCCATGACGTGCATATACGCGATTACGAATGCGGTGGCTTTTCTTTTTTTATTTTTCTTTGTTGGAAGGTCTTTCTGGAATGTCCATAGACGCTATTAACTAGCACACGTTAAAAATAATACTCAGTCACTTTACAGTTTACTGCAGACCTTTCCGAAGGGGAGAGACGGCTCCGTTAAAAACGCTTTCGTACGTCTGTTTTATGTATAGGAATTAATATACTATACAATGTTTTTTTTTGTTTTTTTTTTCCCTATCGGTTTCTATCGTTAGAGAAGACCTTCGAAGGCTAGGAATACTCAAGCACACGTTTCGTAGATGTACGTCGTATACGGTGTCGCTTCGCGGAAAATAAGAATTCATTCTATGTGCAAAAGTTTAAAATAATTTACATTACTTCTTAGTGTAGAGAGTAAGCGAAATAAATATGTGCGCTTTATTCTTGCTCTGCCAAAATAAATTATCGCGTTAATTACGTGTACAAGGTGTTTCGTTATTTGTAGAAATCTTTTCGCACCATGCATTTTCTTTAAAACACAATCAAGAAATTAAGGTTATCAATCGATTGTTCTCTTAATTCTATGTATAAAAATAAGTAAAAGTACACAGTAAAAGTAAAGTGTTTTATAAAACTTTAATATTTTGCACTCTACTAACGTCGCTACAGTGACAACGAAATAGATCAATAAAATTTGAATTCTAAATTTTTCTTCGTGAAACATCATTCTCGATTATTTTAAAATTTACACCAGAAAGATCTCTTGGAGTCGATCGTATTAAAAAAATTCTCAGAGCACAGACGGTTGCAAGGGAATGTACATTTCTCTGAATTTATGTTACTATTTTTAAATGCTGAATCCATCCCTAAAGTATTTCACCAATAATGAAACATCCTGCATGGCACGTGAGTCATGAGTGTGCATGGCGACGAATCAATTTGATATACATATCATACCGCGGGAAAGGAAAGGTACCACCGCACTTCAGTATTGAGGTAGCGTAACGTTGCTTTGGATTAACACGTTCGTCCGGTTATCGAGAATGCGTGTCTGAATTGATTGGTGGTACGCGTGAGAAAGAGCGACGTGCGTCGAGAGTGATAACACATATACTTCTTTTTACGTGCATTTCAATCGAAGCGTCAGAAGCGCCGACCCTGCGTCTCCCTCGCGTGTGATCGACGAGTGGATGCGCGCGCGCGCGCGCGCGCTTGACCGGAGTCTTTGGTAGAAACTATTTGGTACGTTTACGCCCGTTCGGAAGGTCGTGCAGCGCCGCCGGAGCCTACGATGAGTAAACAGCTTGCAAGGTAGAGTAGTACAGTTCATCGGGAAACAAACATCAACAACAATGATTGCTCAAGTATCAACAACATTAACAACATCAGCATTTATAACTTATCGTTTCATTATTGTGATCGTCTTTTCTTTTCTTTTTTTTCTTTTTCATTTCCCCCCCTCCCTCCCCTCTCTTCGTTATCTTGATCAGTTCGTTATTACAATCACCATCGGTGTCTCAGTCTTTCGCCGCACCTTTAGCTTCGCAATGATGTTTTATATGAAATGGCAATAATTACCATCGCGCGCGATCATTGTCTTCAGCAACATCGTGTTCTACTTCTCTTCCCGCTACGGTTACAGCCGCTACGGGGCATAATTATTAATCGTCGCTCTATGATTAGCTCCCCCACCTCTGCACGGTCGTACAGGTCCCTCGCCGCGATTATAGTACATTTTGCATTTTCCTGCTACCGACCATGCCTATTAAGAATGAGCTATACTTATATCTAAAGGGGACAATACAAAAGTATCTGCGCGCTCGTAAGTGAAACAATTTCCTCCTCTTCATTTTTTTTTTCTCTCTCGACACAATCTAAGACAGCGGTAATGATATCCACGACTGACAGATACCCGTCGCCGCGCACAAAATATTAAATCCAATGATCGTCGTGAATATTATGCGTAAAATTGGTCGGTAGCCCTATTCACGAAATGTAATCGAGTCGTCTAAATCTTATAACACATTTACTAACATACATCGCGTAACCATTCGCAAATATCTCGTAGTATAAAATGTCCGTTCACGATTTGTTCGGCAAATAAAAAGCGAGCACGCGCCAATCGCGCCCAAGCAACTCTCTCCACTCGCGATATATCACGCGGAAACCTTGAAAATTCATCGAAATGGAGGAAAACGAGTATTCCCTGGAATTCTATCTGTGAAAAGTAATGGCAATGTAATTTCCACGCACAGCGTTTTAAGTGACGATTTTATAGATACAGAAACATAGAATGCAGTCTCCGCGGTATACGTAACGTCTTGCAAATCGATACAATCAGAATGGTAACAATTCTACGTGAAAAAAAAGTGAGAAAGAATGTCTTTGCCGTAATGTTTTTAGAATTATGGCGTTTTCGAACTGAACGAATTCCGATTCATCGCAGATCACTATTGTACTATAAATTCAAGTCTTTTATTGGCGATGCAATAACATCATTAATCAATCTTGGATCGATCAAAATCCGTTCACTCGGAAACGCTACAATTGTTGAATAATGTTAAAAAACAATTGCTGTTTTTTTAATTTATCTCATTATGTAAAATATTAATAAGTGAATATTTCGGAAAACACTTATATTCATATTTGACAAAAAATTTACATCTCTTTGGCCCATGTTTTCACGTAGATTCCAATTTTCCGATTGCATTGTCAATCGCAGGACACCTTCTATATCAACGATTTCTCGAAAAGCAACGATAGACTCTCGTTTTTCCATTACGTCTTTGTGCGGTACAGGGACATTTAACTTACGCTGCCTTAAGTATTTATTGAACGGTATAAGTACACGTTGTTGTACGCGAGAGCGATACAAATAGTCTCGTATAACAAATATAATCTACTGCGCGACTTCGTAATACTGAGACTACGGATTATCGACACCTTTACGAACGAACCAAGCTAACTCAAGGGAGAATTATTGTCGTAATCGTCTGCAAACTGATATCCCGAGCTTTCAAAAGAGAGTGCTATTGTACATCACCATTTAATAGTATAATCCAACGACTGCCTACTACATTTCGATATCTATATGAAAAAACCGTTCGGAATAAACTACCTTTCTTCCCTCCCGCGAAGGGCAATAATCACGCGCGCGCGCGGCGCGCCGAACCTCGTGCGCCGCGCGCGCGGCATAAAAATCGATCGAATGGATTTGCCTAGTATCGAATGTATCGCGTAAGCTTATCTTAATATCGGCTTTATGTCGAAACACACCTCGGTATTTACCAAATTGTCACATTTGTCGATAACAATACGAAGATACTCCTAGCGTGATACTTAAAGCTCTTACGACTTTTACAACACACTTGCGCATAGATAGTAGCGATAGCTGGGGTTTCGGACTAGACGTGATGCGGTTGAATATGAGACAGCCGACTTGACGAGCTGGATCAGGATTTCATGCTGCTGTTCTCATGCAGCCGCCTCTCAGTCGCTACCGCCAGCAGACTTGAAAACTCCATTTCTAGCAGTTGTCTCGCCTGCAAAAGATAACGCGGCGCTCGTTCAAGTGCTCACAAATTTTTACTACCAAGCTCTTTCGATCTATAATTCGCGAGTTCGTGGTGGAATTTTATTTTATTGATGTGCAAAATGCAACGTGCGTTCTGATTCTTCAAATGTTTCCCGCTAGAAGTAAATTCTTGTCTCAAGTTTTATCGCGAATTTTACGTCGTCTAAAATTCAAGCTTCGCTGCACTTACCTGTGTATTTTGCGTGGGAATTTGTAAGGTTAACGCAAAACTATTCGCATCGAAACTTTCGTCTAGGGCTATAAGTGCGCCGTGCACACCTGACTCTAAAAGATTATTCCCGTATTCCTGGAAGAATAAATCGAATGTCAATTTCCGTCGCGAGTAATTCAACGCGGTGAGATATCGGAGAATGTTTCAACGAACCTTCAAACCGATCGACTGTACCCATCTTATAACACGATCATTGCTCCATACAAGTACGTCTATATTGGCACCTTCTGCCATTCGTCTTCTCTCTTCTAATTGTTGCCTATCGTAATTTAATCGCTTTAAGCAAGAAATGCCGTACTGCAAACTTGTTCTGCAAAAATACACTGATATTGTAACAAAATCGCAATATGATATCAAAATAATAGTGACATTTAAATAACGCATAAACTTGTCTCTTAGAGACTTCAGAACTGATTTTTCATTTAACACCGTCCTTTCCGTACCTGTGGAAGCTGTCAACCATTCTCAGTTGACCACGAAGATCCTTCTTCGTAAGATGATCGAGCATTCTAGCATCAACAAGGCACTCCATGAAAGTGGACCGATACTGCGGCAAGCCGAGGCTCGGCAACCAGACATTACCTATCCACTCGTGATTCATATCACCAAATGCTAATGTTGTGCGAGAAGTTTTTGGCGCTGACGGACTCGTGAGCGACACCATCTCTTGAATGGCTAGTCTCAGTTTTAATCGGTGCAACGGATTACTGCAAAATGTCAGACGTACAGAGATGCGATCGTGGCACAATTGTGATGCAGTCATACACTTTCATTCATCGTGGAAAGATTCTGAATCACTTCGATAAGCGTGAATTTTTACAGCCGTACCTTATGCCAATTTCTCGTTGAATCTCCGTATCGCTAAGCGCACTCATGATAGCACCACTTTTGACGTTTGCTCGACAAGCGGCGACGTACCACGTCGGCATGCCCACCCAAAGCTCCAACCACGCCACCACCGTTGGTCCGTTCCACAGGGCGAAGGGTGTTCCGGCCTTCATCGCTTCCGCCAGGAGCTCGTGCCGCGAGGAATCCAGCATACTACCGAACATGCTGGGACTGAATATTGCAATTTATTAAACGTACGCGCACAAACGCGTATAAAATAAACATGCGTGGAGGACAGCAACGATTACGGATAAATGATTCTTACCAGCTCAATGTAATGCAACAAATTAACATCAAATATTAACTACAATATAGCGAGTAATAACCGTCGGTCATATAACGCAAATGTAAAAAAAAAAAAAATTTTCAGTAAAAAAGATATAAGTAACGTGTAAAATACGAATTCTTCCATAAAATATTGCTGCAGTTAAAAGTAAAATATAAAAAATAAAACTTTACATATGAATTTAATAAAATGACTTAATTCTATTTCTCTTAATCGAAGATATTTAATAAATATAGATTTGGTATTTAGAAAATAAAGCTTCTTTTCTCTGCGCCTCTGCAAATACCTCTTCTTTTTCCTACGATCAAAATCACTTTTACTGCCAAGTGTACCAGCCACGGCCACACTGTCTCCATAATCAGGATCCGCTGGTGTACACGCACCACCCATACCTGGTACATCGCCCGGCATCGGTGTGTCTTTTCCTTTGATCTGGATGCATTAAGAAAAAAAAAAAATTATTTTTTTCACAGAAAACCCTTGATGATTACATTTGCAATCAAACTTGTCGATACACGCTGTGATTAAAACGCGAAAATTTTGTGATATTTCACGATGAGCCTTTCCGTTGGAATAATCCGAAATCCGTTAATCTTTCGTGACGCTAATTAAAAAAAAAAAGACTCCTTAGATTAAAACGCGAAATAACGAGAACAATCGCGTTCCTTAAAAGAAAGTTAGGCAGCCTGGTCATCCTTGCGAAGGGAAGGCTCGCTTTTGTGAAACTCCGCGGACTTCCGCATTTCAATCACAGCGCTACAATGGACGGGGAGAAATTTCTCACCTTCTCCTTTTTACTGAAGAATCTACCGAGGCTGCTCTTAATGCCCTTCTTTTTTTGCGCGGCCGCGACCGCGGCCGCCGTGGCGGGGCTCATGGTCGCCTGCATGTGCAAATGCGACGCCGACAGCTGTCCGATGGGCAGTCCGACGCTGGAGAAGTTGTTCTTGTGCAGGCTGTCCTGGCTGCTGTGGCGTGAGGACAATGGGGAAGGGGGAGTTCCAGAATTGAGTGCGCCGTTGTTATGCTGCCCATGCCTGCTGCATGGAGCGCTAATCTAGTTTCTAGTTCTACTTCTAATCTGATGCTACTACATTCTAGCCCACGCAAGAACACTATCTTTGTTTCTCCTCTTTCTTGTCTTTTTACCGTTCTACACACGTTATCATTACTGTGTCATTAGCATTCTAGCCTTTTGTACAGCACTATTATCTGTAATTCGACAAATGATGCGAGTCGAGTTTCACGAGGTGACGATAAAACAAGCGATCTCAAGATATATGTTCTTTGTGATGCCTCATGTATCTTCATATTTGTCATATTTCTATCGCGCTTGTGAGCACCGTGCGATTGAATAAAACAAGGGGATGTTCGACGGTTGTATCGATGGCTTTCTTTTTAGGAAAGAAACTTACAGACTCAAGTGAATTGTGACGCGATTATACGTGATAGCCTCGAAACAGTGCGCAATATCACACTGTTCACTTAGCGTAATTAGCTGGCATAAAAAAAGAGGAATTAGCATTGTGAAGATAAAATTAACAAAATCAACATAAGCGTATCTCTAACAAATCATTAAAATCAATATTAACCAACGAAAATGTATCAAGGAAATTCTACAAATGTGCCACATACTTTGGACGATGTAACGAATACACTCTACGTAATGTCTTATTTTGGTAAAAAATGATTCAACAATACTCGCGTACAAATAACAATAAGAATAAGAGTAATATCTACTCAGTATTACATGTTAGACAAAAAAGCTTGGAAATATTGCTGATTACTCTTTATAAAACTCGAATTCGAGAAAGCTAAGCGATCACGAAGATACACAAAAAAGATGTCGAGATTTAAATTAGAACAATGCTGAAACGTCATGTGTTACATCTTTGAAAATGTTTCATCGAAGTTCTCGCCCCGCTTCGAGGCTGTTTTGCATTATTGTATATATCTCGCGTCGTCCGTGATATCCAATTTGTCTGTATCTTTGTAATCTGCTTGTACAAGACAACCTTGTGCGCGAGACGGACCGACGCATCGGATCGAATTCTCTCGGTTCCGTAAGTTCCTTCGTCTGTCTAAGACCGCGATGTTTGTCGTGCACTGGGCAGGCTTGAATGTACGACGGACGGAAGAGGCAATCGATCCCCTCCAGCGTTTCGTATCTATCGGATCTATCGGGCGCTTCGTCCGTGCCACTGTGCGCGAGAACCGGCGCTGCGGGCATGATGTAAGTGACAACTTTGCACGCTCACGGAAGCAATAATGTCGTGACTCGTAAATGAGTGATACTCGATTGCTCGATTTAACGATGCGTTACCGTCAAGGTGACCCGGGCCGGTCTCAAAGTCACTTGTCTCATGTCCACAAGAGCCATTCAAATGCGTCGTGCACAGCGGCGTATAATAACGCGGTTTACATGCAGTATTAGTATCTGTAATTAACCTGTACGTGGGGAAACCACTGCTCGGAAATCCGCTCTGTCCGGTACGTCTGATAGCACAAACAATGAAAAAGGACCAACAACTTAAGATAAACTCCGGCTACAATCTCGTCTCCACACACACAAATGTAATTCAGAATAACAGATAGAGATTATATTGGGTTCCAATTCAGGTTTCCCCACATTAAGCTCCTAGCGTGATATCCGCTGTATGGGTGCTATTGTGCATCTCCGATTGTAACACCTTAAATCCCGTCAGTTCTCTAGAGATTTTTTCTTTTATGGGTGCCAGAAATAATTTTTGCATCATAAAAATGTAATAAATATTACGAAAAAGTATATACGATCAACAGAATGTAAAGGCTAAAATTGTGATTGAAGTCGGTGACTCAGTAAAGTGGGGAACATACCTTCTGAGTTCTTCCTGACTGTGCGCCAACGCTTGAACGACTCGCTCCAATCTCAAAGATCTGGCTGTCAGTGGAGAAGCCGCGTCACTGCCGCTTCCTATGGTGCCGCCGGTACTATCTCTTTCACTAATCGAATGTAACTCTTCACCTGACAACTGTAACTGCCACAGACGAGAAATATATTACCTTACTTCATGCGCTATACACTTTAAAAGTGTATGAACTATTTCTTTTTTCATAAATGTATGTTTCATGCTTTGTCATTGTACACGATGTCTCCTCAAAATTGGAAACTTTTAATTTTAACTTGCTTAAGAGTGCAAAACTCAAATTTAAATATATATATAAAAAATATTTTATTTCTACCTCGAAATTTGATAAAAAATGCTTAGAGACCAGGTATTTTTTCTCCTGAAAATTCTATGACGTTTAAGGCACGTTTTAATCAAATTTCCAAGTAGAAGTAAAAATTATTTTAAAACACGACCAAATCTATCCATCTAATAATAATCAAAGTCAATGGGCGAAACAAACCTGGCTAGCGGGAAGAGATTCTGACAGTTGACCCGGACTGACTAAGGAAGCGGCGTATTGATGTAAATGCGCCGGAGACATTGACGCAGGTGCCTAGAAAAGAAAAAGAAAATACGTATAGCGATTTATTATAAACGGTATAATTCTTCTAATAAAACTATTAAAAATGCAATAATCCTGGTTAACAATTACGTGATTACTAACGGTGTGGTACTTGTGCAAATAATCCCTATTAGGACTATGATGCGATTTTGGCGTGGATCGTCCACTTAAAGGTGGCGATGCTCGCTCGAGGCTACGACCTCTCGCTAACAGATTCATGTGCTCGAGACTACCGACCCGAGACTCCAATTCCTCCGCGCGCGCTTCCGTACTCTGCTTCTCTTCCTGTAATATTCAATCGAATTCAAAATATACATATAAAATTACAGACAAATCAAAGATAAATATGATAAACATATATCCAGAATTCATTTTGCAATAAATTTACGTAATATTCGAAAAGTACCACGTGATCTCAGTCACCTGAATCAATCTAATTTCCTTATTAATGGCGTCCAGTTGTTCCTGCAGCATCAACGCCAGTGTCTGGGCATCCGTGTGCCCGGTCGGACTTGCAATTACGTCGGCCGTGCAACTGAAGATACTTTCATTATCCCCGTCGCCTTCGGCGTCGCTCGAAACGTCGAACGCTTGCTGGACGTTAGCGAGTACGTGCGCTTGCTGTAACTTTTCCCACTCCTGCTCCGCCAAAGTCCGTGCTACGTAGTTCTGAAACGTTAATTACGTTAGACGTACGATCTTAAATATGGATAAAATAATTTTTACAGATGCTTACCTTCGACGAGTCGTCCTCCATCGATCGTTTACCTCCTCTTCTCGGCAATGAGTGCGTATCGAAACTACTGTGACTCGCGCTCCTCGAGAAGGAGCCCGGATCGACCGCGTTCGGAGATAAGCTCCTCGTCAACGCGTCCGTCTGCTGAATATTAAATGCGATCTCCTGCTGAAGCATCTGTCTCTTAACGTTATCGATTTCTAGGCGCGCCTTCGCCAATTCCTTAACAATTTCAGCCTTCTCGTTCTGCAGATCTTCCACCATCTTCCTCGTCTTCTCGAGTTCCGCAGTAAGAGCGTTCTTCTCTTCTAACGCTTCCATCCTTTCCTTCAGATGCGCTTGCAATCTGTCATTAGATTCTAAATGGAAAGTTCAACTCTTTAGAACACTGCTTAAAATAAAAACTGTATTATATTATTTAGCATCAAACAGCTATGAATACACACAAAGTGGGCCAAAGAAAACTTTCCACCTCGTGATCGATTAATTTGTGCAAAAATATAGGTCAATCTTGTTTTCACGAGAGATGCATGAATGCAATAAATTCAACTATGCCGTTTCATCTCCTCGTTTTCATCTCTTTACACATCGATCGTTTATAAAATAAAGCATAGAAAGTTTTCCTTGGTATAGAGCCAAGTGCGTGTATGTGGGACGAGATATCTGGTAACAAGACATACTGCACTATTTCCGATAATAATAAGATACGCTTGAACAATTCCTGTTTATGTGTGCATAAATGACGTTCGGGAAACCTGACGTAAGAGAAATGTCGCACAAAAATTACCACATAAAAGTTTATCGACGGTTGCGTTAAGACGGTGATTATGTTCCTCGTTCATCTTAAACCGCTGGTTAACACGTATCAGTTCTGCGTTCTTTTCTTCCAATTGCGCTTCCAATCTTTGGATTCTATCCTCCGCGCTACCGTGCCTCTCCTGAGCCTGCTTGAATGTTTCACATAATAAAAAATATTTATTATAAATCAATTCGTTCACATGGTATTATTGGCATTCATCAAATAATGATGTGTCTAATTTCATGAGCATTGTTATAGCATTTATAAAGCTATCTCTCATTATTTTGAAATCAATTTAGATATTAATGTCAATATTTCTGATATGACTGATATCAAAATGTATGATAATTACATGAAAATGTAATTCAGGATTCAATGTAATTAATGAATTCAATTATATATATTTTATAACTTATTGTACGTTTTATATTTATTCTAACACTTTCTATGCAATCTAGATGAAACATTCTATAATGAAAACAGCAAGAAAATAAGAGTGTGTTCAGATGAGCGAGAAAAGGAAGAGAGAAGAGAGAATATATATATATCATATTAATAAACATTCAAAAAATGGCACGCTATTCATAAATTCATAAATTAATATAATATTTCAAACATATCCGTCACTTGCAGGAGTAGTAGATTTCGTATAGACCAGGTTGGCTTCCACTATTTCATGCTGCATTGTACATCAGTTTGCAAATTATAAGACAGTGTAATTAATTCTCACAAATATATATATATATATAAAAAAAATTTACGTAACCAAATTCTTAACGCAAATCAAGTCTTTAACACGTTCTGTCACTTGAGCTTGTATTCAGCAAAATTGTGTGTTTCAGCGTAAATATATAATATATATTGCAAAGACACACTGCGGTGCACAAAAATATTCGACTTATATGTATGTAAACAGTGTTGTCACGTATCATACATACAGTAGTATACAGAACATGGAGCAGCAAAAACTAATTTCGTTCTCAAGTATCTGAAATTAACTGAAATGCAACAAGAGCACTTCGCAGCAACGATGCATATCAAGAAAGATAAGCTCTCTAGACATAGATCGTATCTCGGGTACGTTAAAAGTGCAGAGAAATAAAAGATAATAGGGACAGAGCTGACGAGATGTGTGACGTGATATGATTCCCCTGCGTACCTGGTTGGGCCTCCTCACCTGCGTCAGAGCCTCCATCCTCTGCTTTAATTGCTCTTCCATTTCTGGTAACTTAGCGTATTGAGCTAATTTCTGTTCCGTGAGCTCTAATTTCTCCTGTATAGCCGCGATTTTCTCCTCTTGAAGCTTCGGTGAATAAGACAAAAGATTATTACAATTAGCAGAATTATTATCATGCACAGAGTGTCCCAACATTCGCGAATTCTCACAACTTCCAAGACAATTTAATAGTGCTTTAATTCGGGAATTTTTTGAACACTCCTTACAACAGAATTATTCGATAAGCGACGAATGCTACAACTGTAATAAAGGAATCGCGGGTGAAAATCAAAACCAATTACCTTCAGTTGAGCTTTCTTATGCTGCAACTCTTGCTCCAGCTTCTCATTGAGGTCGTGAAGACTAGTGGACTCTCGTTGAGCATTGAGGTATCGTTTCTCTAAAGTCGCTATTCGCTCCTCTTGGTCCTCTTTTTGCGCCGCGTTCTCCCGCAGATCTCTCTGCAGTTTCAGTCCCGCCTCTTGCGCTTTCAAAAGGTCCTTCTGCGTTTTCGACAGCGTTTCCTCCAACTCGGCGACGCGACCGCTCATTTCCGCTACTCTTCGCTGCCACGTGCTTAATTCCGAGCTCTAAAATAACATTCGCAACATTTTATATCGATTATACCGATCGCGATAGAGAAGCGTTTGTCGAGCTACTTGTGTAAAAAATCGTTTATCGAAAAGTGTTTACGTAATTTCAAGTAATGCAAAATTCTTCGCCATAATCAAATTTCACGACGATTATTCTATATGACGCTAAGACTAATTGAGGGAAGTCGTCATACGCTATTATCATATTCGCATGTGCGCGTGTGTGTGTGTCTGTGTTTTCATTGTTATAAAGTTTGTTCTTTGTAACATTAAGAAAACGGCGAAGCTATTTCAAGGAGAGAGATATACTTGGGTAAAATCCATTCCTAGTGACTAATCATGCGAGCACAAAACGTTTAACATGAAGGTTTATCGTTCATTCCACAACATGCCGTAGGCACTACCGAGAATATTAGATCGACAAAAGGGTAGTTTATATTAAATATGCTATAATATCAACGATTAGTTCAGCATTAAATTAACTTATACATTTAATATGTATATCTATTTTTACGTGTGTATGTATGTAACTTATATACATATTAGGTGTCTTTTTGCACAGATTCTTGAATACATTGCGAAAGAACACTATCGAAACGTCGAAGTTACATAATAGTTTTTAAATAGCAACCGATTAAGATCGATCGATCGAATCATTAAAATTTCTTTAGTGAATTTTTCAGATTATTAATAGATATTAAAAAAGTTGTAACAACCATTTTCACCAGTTTTGTCGAGAAAAGTGATTTAAGAATCTGTCGTTAAAAAGTTATTCGGATTTTTTTAAATACTCTTTGTGTAAAAAGTTGTGTATATAATCATGTGTTTCAAATGCAAGATAATTACATTTCCGCCACAATGTTAGTTCTTACGACAGAATCTATATATTGCATCTCTTATTTGCTATAAGTATTTGCTAAGACTCTGTCATGCAGTCTACAACGACATAAGTATATAATAATGTGCGTATAAACTTGTCTTCTCAATAAGACACCAGATTTCTCTATTGAAATAATAGAAGTATACGCTCGTTATACGCTTATTATCGAGATAATACATATCTTTTATTTAGCTCACACGTTATGCTCGATGTTGTGCTTAAAGTGAGTAATTCATGCAAAATTGAAAATAATGTCGCCGTTTTGCAGATATATATATATATATGTATATATTTAAAAATTAGAGGTGTGTGTTGCGGGGAACAAGATCATGAGGACTAGTCGTAATCTTCACATATGTTTGCATAGAGAGAGAGATAAGAAAGGTCTGAAGGTTAAAATTCACTACCTGAAGTTAACTGTCGAATCTTTTCTAGCCATTTTTTCGTCGCGTAGATACTGATTCATACCTGCTTGTCGAGAGTGGCTTGCAAGTCTATTACTCGTACTGCGGTGTCCTGCTCGATCGGATCGAGACTGCCATTGCTCAGCCTACTGCCGACCTCAGTGGACTTCTCTGTACCTGGGTTTTGTACTGGTTGCTGCTGCTGCTGCTGGTGCTGCTGGTACTGTTGCTGCTGCAGTTGTTGCTGCTGGTGCTGCTGCTGCTGTTGCTGGCTTTCTGCCTGCTCAGTCTCATTCTGCCCGATCACAACACTACATTCAGAATGCCTCGCTCGCATTGCCTGTCCTGCATCGCCGCGCAACTCCCAAAAAATCTACATGTATACACAACTACGCGACGCCGTACGACTACCGCATGCATGAACTACGATTGATACATTCTTATGGGATATGCAGCGAGTCGATAAGTGAAAAGTCGAAAGGCTTCGCCACATTGTCGTTTATCATTTTCCTTCGAGAGATACGTAAATAAATAATAAACACTTCGGCGGGATCTTTGAAACGTATTTACATGATGAATGATTATTTTATGCAAAATTTATGCAACTCTCAACGCTCTCTATGATATGAAACATGAGAAATGTTTCAATGAGATGAGACAAGATGATATAATTCTAAGCTCCATGATAAAATGACACGATGAGGAAATGTAATACATCGGTTTTTTTTTTTTTTTATTACGGGAGAAATATAAATGTACTATCGATAATAACTTGATCACTGAAACTTACGTCTGTCGCTCATACTAGAAATTTGTCGTACAGACTCCGATATAATACAAAGAAAATAAAGTGAAACGTTAAACGTCAGGTGGAGAAAGGGGGGAGGCCTGAAGGGAGGGGGGAGAGGAGGACATATGCTAAACATGAGCATGCAAAGTGAGAAAAGTTTCCACAGATGCATCTCACGACTTTCAGACAAAATTTGAAACACTTCCACTTATCCCATGATCGGTGCAAGGTATGAGAAGCGATAATATGTGTGTATGTGAATATCTGTGATCGCTTGTGCACGCATGTCCGGATGCGGTTGAGAGATAGATCGCATTGACAAATCCGTTGTCGATACCTTATTCTGTTGCTGACCTTCGTCCGCCTGTCCGTTTTCCTTCGGTCTATCCTCCATGACTTTCGACGGATGCCCGCTCACTTTATACTGCTGGAGCTGCAAGTGCGCTTATGTTAGACGACGATAAGAGATACTCTTTATGGCGTTCAGCCTTAACGTTCCGCAGTTTGTTTCCGAAGAACAGAATATTTTTATGGCGCGGTAGACGCGTCGAAATCTCAATCGGATGTTCGCCGAGGAGATACCTTGAACCTTTGACAATATTTTAATTTGTAAAGGAAACTCACTTCGTCTTTGGTATGGGCTAGCTCTTCCTCGAGACTCGTATTTCTTTCGAGAGCCACACGCAGACGCTCACGTACCTGAAAAAAATTCGTCAGCGATATTAATCGTACGAGAAAGATAAGTGAAATGAAAAAAAATAATTTGCAATGCATAATTCATCCTTGCGGTAAGGCGATTAACTTTTGCTTTGCAACAACGCCGTTTTGTCGACTAAATAGACGGAAGAAAACGTGGATATCACGTTAATTTGATACATGCTTAAGCAGAACGATAATCCGATGCAGCATCATCGTGCCGCACGTGTACATCGTTTTATTATCATCTGCTTAAACGCGCGGCAAATTGATGCGAGCGTGCACGCAAGCTCTTTTTGCCGCTCGCGTGAGCATAAAAGGGAAATTAATAAGTCAGATGATACATTAGACTCCATTAATACTTTACACTTCCGGTTTGAGATGTGTGTTATTTAGATTTCTATTTTTATTTAGCTGCGGAATTTTTGATCAAACACCAAGATATCTGGATGGCTCTGAAGTTTTCAATTAACAATTATGATGCAAATATTCAGACATTATGATATTTAATCCGGAAATATTTAATTCAAAATGTAAAGCATTAATATTAATTGTAATGTGTTTCTATTTTGCTCACCGCATAATTTCAAAAAAACCTCCTTTACTTGCCATAAATAAAAAAATTAATTAATAGTTAAGTTTTTCTCTTCATAATGCATACTTTTTCTTATAAAAGAGACTTTCGTAAACCAGTTGCTTTGTAAAAATTTGACATTGCAGCGACAATAATATATAAAATGGCATGCATACCTTCTCGTCCAAAGCCTTGTGATGCTCGAAGAGACTTTTCAAAGCTTTGAGTACCTCCACCTCGGACGACACGCCGGATTGCGCAGCGGCTTGGCGCTTCACGACCGTCATCCTGAGCGAGCGTTCGTGCCGTGACACCAAACACTCCAGGTGCTCTAGTAGGAGCTGGGAAAAATAATTACACATTAATTGTAAAACCGCGATAATTAAATTGTAATTCAAATTTAGATTATTATTAAATTAATCAAAAAGTTCCTTTGACTTTTGCCTTTCATTTTTATCGATAAGTCCAAAGAAATTTTCTGATCAATCCAATACTTTTGCTTATTATTTCAAATTTAAAATAGACATTTATTTGAAGAGAATTTTAAAACTGAATAATTAAAGGGCTTAAGACTCTCATTAAATCATAAAGATTGTAGAAAATTCCAAGTCAAAAAAGTTGAAAGACGTGAAAAAAAATCCATTCGTTCTCTAAAAGCTAAAATGTTGGGGAAAAAATCGTCTACTCACACGTGTGTTATTTCGTTCTGCTTTTAACTCTGAGATCTCCTCTTCCCTTTCCAAGATGCTCTCCCGCGCCGCCGCTAATTCTTTTGTCAGCTGCGAAAATTCCTGCACAGAAATAAAACGGAGTACGTTAATATCACAATGTACAGAATATAACAGCAGAACATTTTGTGGCTGCGTGAAAATATTTACGCAATTTACATATAATTTTCCAAGTTTCAGATCAATTTCTGAGCACATTAACATTATTTACGTATCGTTAATCGTAATTTGGCTCTTATATTTGCAATTATTTTATCGTATTGATAAAATCTTAATTAGCCACAAAGACATGAATCAACAAATTGGGAGATTACGATAAATCGATAATCTTTCTCCACATTTTACGGAAAAAATCGATTTCAGAAATCAAAGCATCCGTTGTCAAAAAACGTTGTACGTATATTTTGTAAAAAAAATATCCTATATAAAAAAAAATAGAACGTTTCGAAAAATCACCTGCAACAGTACGCGATGAATCGTGCACGTGCATTCCTGCGAATCGCCGGACAATACTAATCGACAAGCGGAGTTCGCGTCGCTCCACGCGATATTACGAAGCTGTACCTCGAAGGAATCCTGACTGATACTCTTAAGCAATGGCGACAGGGTGATAGGGCGAATGTATTCGCTTAACCTAAGGCTCGGCGCTTCGTCGCGACGCGCCTCGCTCTCGTCCGGCATTAGCATGACTTCAATGATACGTGACGATCGATTAACTTTATTGTCGCGTCGCGCGCTCAAATATTTGGCATTTTTATTCGCTCGGAGACGTTAAATATTGACTCTCCCAATTCCAATTGAGCGCGATACTTAAACACCTTAATTTTCTGTGCTCTCTGTTTACATATTTCTTTTTCTCTCACACAGCCATTGATTTATTATTCGATGATATCAGTTCAGCGCAAACCTGCGCGAATCTGTACGTGCTACGAGTTTCTTCAAACATTCTTATCTGTCAACGGTTAAAAAATGTTATCGTAGATATATGTACGTTCCAAGAGTTACTTTGATGAAAAATTCTGTTATCAACTTGGAGTCGATTTTTTCGTAATAAAAGTCTTATAAAAAATTTATAATTATTTATCTGCGTGTATATTGATAATGCTGAGGCGCCACAATTAATAATAATAATATTAAAAGAGATGCGGAAATCATAGAAACGAGAAGAAAGCGATATTACGAAATCTTTTCTTTTAATGCCACTCAAGAAACAATAGTAGTTTAAAACGTTTCTCCATTTTCTTAAATAAAAATATTAAATTAATTATATCTTTATTTAATATCATTAAATGTCTTGACACATGGATGCGATATATTAACTATATAACATAATTCAAATAAATATATATAAATAATTAAAAAATGAGCAATTAATTTTCTTATATAAAATCTTCTCGACAATTCCTTTAAAAAAAATTATGCAATAAAGATATAATTAAAAATATTATTAATAAAATTGCTTTTGAAGCATAAACAAAAGCGAATCCTCTAACTAAATACATATATATATGAAATAAGTAAATGCATGCAGACATTTTAATACAGTCTGCCCTGAAAATTATGCGGTATGTTATGATATTATAATATCCGGAAAAGTTGTGTTTCTTGTGTTAAAATTAAAACCGCAAACTGCTCTTTCATAGTTTGTCGCAAAGTGCATTTCCGCAAATGCAAATTTAAATGCCATTGTGTATGCGCATCACACAACTCAGGAAGGATTGTGATCGATATTGCGTGAAAATTATCGCCGGTGCGACTGTGTTTAGGCGACGCATCGGTGACTGCACCCCGACGGATCGATATCGGCCGCGGGTGAACTCGATTTTTTTATCGCAATTTTAATAAACCCTAATAAATTTTATCCTTGCAACTTTATGAGGTCGCTATCACGTTTTATTTTTTACACAGTGACGCGCTTCGAATAACTAATCAGATTGCGGAGGTCGCACAAATGAGGCTGCAATATGTCGAATGTCAGGGATACGAAATGATAAATATTTCATTCGCGCTTTGTCCGAGGACAAAAATGATATATTTGGTGTCCGTTCCTAAGGTATCCTTCAGAGAATAAACCATTTACCAACTGAAATGTAAAATCAGATTTAAAATATTAGAAAAAACATATTGTCAGATTCTTTTTGCGATATATTATCATTAAAATCATTTCCTAAATAATAAAAGACATGTAAAAATTTAGATTGCTTTGTTGTGTAATTTTATGACTTATTAATTTTTTTTCTTCCAAAAAATATAAATAAATTTAGATATTTTAAACAAATAAGAATCCCACTAATTGTTTTCACAAAGGAAAAAAATCACGTATAATTTTAGATTTTTCCTGTAATTATAAATTTCCTTATTTATTTTTAATATAATTATTGTTTGTTATTAAATACTTTACTATTTTGTTATCTTGTAACAGAAAGAAAGATGCTTAAAGATCGAATTGTGCTTTGCCACATAATTGTTTCAATATGAGAGAAAACATGATAAACAAAATTTTCCACAAAATTATTAATTGCTCTCTAACAAAAAAGAAAAACAGAACGCGAGATATTTCCAATTACTAATTTCTCTATCAAAGGAAGATCACGCATAGATTCAGACTTGTCTTACAATTGCAAAACGCACTAAATTTTTCTCAATTTAAAGAGAGATTTAGATATAAATTTTCCCTGAATGCCGCACAAACACGTGGTACAATAAAGTCTGCAGTGCTGAACTCGCGACGTATGAAATCGTACTAGCTGCGGAGACGACCTGCGCTACTGACGATACGTTAAACAAGAAATGTGGGTTAAAGGGGCGAGAAGGGGTTGCCCCAGGGGGTTCGTGCGCGCGACGATCTTAATTGTCGTCGCTGATAATGTTTCACTGATCTCACTGCATGATTTTCCCTTTTACAATATGCGTATGATGTCACACGCGTGTCGTAAATGTTATACAATACTCGTCCAGTATGCAGAAATTAGTGGCAGTCCGATTTAACCTGATACGCAAATAGACAATCATCGCAATCTAATTCTTTCACACGGAAAAATAAAAACTAAATAAAATTCACAATTGCCAAACTTCGACTTTCTACATTAAGATATACAATGATATAGAAAATATATCAGATTAATTCAATACTTTCTGTTGACTGTAAATTCTTCAATTATTTTTAAGTTTATTTTAACAAAAATATTGATATTGATTGAATAATACTTTTAAGTTAAACGTGACCAAAAATAAAAATTCTTTCATGAATTACATTTTCTGTTAATATACAAAAAGCTTTGCTTTCAAATAATTTCCAGCAAATGTCACTCCAATTTAAATCTTAATTTAAAACTAAATTAGTAAGAAACTAATATTACAAATTAAAACCTTATTAAAAAAAGATCACTATTTTAAATAAAAAAAATTGATTTATTACAAAATTTGTAATAGTAGTAAAAGAAGTAATCAGTCTCGGATCGTCTTTATCGTAAGTACATCATTAAAAACTTGTATATAATAATAATTTTATGTAAGTTGATATTATTTTAATGATATTAGTTTAATGAAGAAAATCATTAACATTCAATTATTTTTCAACAAAAAAATTAATAAAACTAGACAACAAAATAGCATAATGCAATACTAAAATAGTTCTTATTGTCAATTTATTGAATTTTCAATAAAATTCAATAAATATCACATTTTATAAAAAAAAAATAATTGTAATTGCAAGTTCTGTTGGTTAGTTAAAATGTTATAAGTTCTCAGTACAAAATCGATAATTTATTCGATTGTCAGTTTATTAACAAAGATAAACCAGACAAAGTAAAAGCTCGCTGTCGCATCCCGCATCCACAAAAGTTCTCTCGGGATTCTCCTCAAAGATCCCGAAACCAATCGACGAGAAACAAGAACAAACAAACACAATGCGCACGAGAGCGCGCGAAAGCCGAACTCAATTATTGCGGACTAATGGCGCGCTATAAATAAACGCATCAGATACGCGACAGCTCTGCGAGTACACTGTCGATTCGTGAGAAGGTTTAGCAGAGGGCTGAGGAGAGAAGGGTGGCTAAGTTCGCGATAAAATAGCAGCCGCGACCTCAGAACGACCCGGACGAACTTTCGGCATGGCGCGGTAAAAATATGTCGCGAACGCGCAATCTGACCTCATTTTTTTTCTCTTGTACCGGAAAAAAAGAGCGCAAAAATTCATGCTGCCTTGTAGAAAAATCATAAATCATTTTCTCACAAATAAAAAAGAAGTACAGATTCTTCGATTAACTATTAATGATTATTAATCGTTGATATTCGTTCAACGGAAAGACCAGTGTATGTTAAAAATATAAAGAACGCTGGCTCCCAAAATTTCGTTTCCTCCCGATATCAAAATTTCTATAAGAAATTATCGCTTATGCACTGTCCTTATGTACGAGAAGTTTCGCAATGCGCAATAGCTGCGTAATAATGAGGTGACGTTTTATTGTGATTTAACAATAAAATCTCGTGCCTGAAGATAACGAAGTCACGTTTTGCAGCTTCTAACGCTTCCAACGTTTCCTCTTAGCATTTCAAGCGTTGTCTTTTCATCGCGAGAAATGATATAATTGATATTCAAAATTGCGCACCGCGAGAAATATCTCAAGTGCCACGTCAATAATTCTGCTTAAGGAAAAAAGCAAGAATCAATCTGAATATGTTCACATAAGGCTGCAACTATGTCTGCGTTAATAAGCAAATTATCAGTATCTTGTATATTAAAAGGCGAATATTACTAAACAACGTTCTTAATCACAATAAATATTTTCAACAAAAAAGTAAAAATATTTTTGTTAAAAATATCTTATCTAAAGTTTACAAAATATACACAACTTTTATTACTTTTTAAAAGAAGCATTGAGAGTTTAAGATATTATTAATTGTACAATTTAAAAACCAAGAATTCTACATGAAAATATAAATTGGCGATGTATAATAAATATTTTTATACATAAAAAACAGTACTTTTTATATAATAAAAAATAATTGCAACTGCCGAATGTTATTTGCATCATAAATATTATCTGTTATTTGTAAAATAA